GAGGCTGGTTCTGTCATCGAAGTCAGAGAGGAAAACATACCCCACCAACCACCCAGGCGGTCGCGGCGGGTGGCGAAAAAAACCAGAGTACAATAGATAAACCCTATTTATGATTTATGAAACGAAAAGTTTCACGGATTTCTATCAATTCGGTCAAGTTCTGTGTAAGTGAAGTTGTTGATTTTTGGTGGTGGCTTTTTTATTTTGCTTGCCGAAAGAGGGGTTATGCCGAAAGAGGGGTTGTGGATGGTAGTCTCCAGCCACCGGAGGCCAAGGTCCGGATTCAGAACAACAGAGGCCGCAAACAGAGGCGACCGCCCCAGAAGAGTATAATATTCGTTCAGCTTAATCCAAGCAGCGTTTATGCTTGCCCTGATACTAGCACGCTCTTGACCCTCCATACTGGCAATGTTACTTACGGAGCGAGCATCGTCCTGCAGGTAGTCTCCTCGAGAATGTACAGGAAGAGCACCTTCGTTAAACAATGGGCTGGTGGATGGACAAGCCGAAAGAACCGTTTCGCGACGGCGGTGTAACGGCGTGATCTCAAACCCTTGGAGTCGCGATGGTAGTCGTGATTGGCGCAAGGGTCGCCCTCGAGCTTGCCCGACTACAGATGGCCGCGCAGACATTGACTTCGTATCCGCAACCGATTCAAGCTCCTCCCCCTGAGCTCTACGTCTTTCCTCCGTAGCATGATTCGCAGTTTCATCGTCGTAGAGAAGCCTCCAATCTTTTAGATGTTCCAGAATATACTCCATCCCTGTCATGACCTCCCAGAGCCGGCCGTGGCCTCCACTTGTACCCCATCCTTGTGTTCTCATTGTCATATTGTAGATCGGCTCCAAAATATGGCTAACTTCCCTGAGGACCTTCCAGTCATCGGAGGTCAGAATGTCGGCCATGGGAACCCTTTTTGAGGCGTCTGCTTCTAGCCCTAAATCTTGGATGAAGCTATTGAGCTCAGACTGCTTGATCAAGGCGCGCTCGATCATCATGTAGGTCGAGTTCCATCTCGTAGGGCTGTTTTGTACCGGTATGTCGACACACTCCTAACCGCGGATGAGTCCAGCATGAGGTTAATGACCATAGATGAGGGGGGGTTTACCTCAGCATCCTGCATGACTTCGTACCGAGTCCAAAGCGAGAATCAATGCATAGAATGGAAATTATTTCGCCCCTAAGTGGGTCTAGACCCAAGGCACAGTGTGGTAATTAAGCGATTCACAGTCCGGACGATTTGGTCCTGGTACTCAGAGCCCCACAGCTTCATACAACGAACGGTTTAGCCAGTTTTGACCCTCCAAATGTTTGGAGTCTTATCTTGCATAGCTAACCCTCTTAGGCTAATCCTCGCTTGCCTGCTTTCAAGTAATTCATGTGGAGGACTCTGAAGGTCCCCACAATATAAGATATTCATGAACAGCGATGAGATCAGTCTTTCCACGTACTGATAGTGCGACCGGCCCTTCAGCGATTTAGAAAAGGATGGTTTTCGCACGTTTCTGCTGATCGGGCAACTCTCTGTGCACTAGTGAGGTCCGAAGAAAGTTGAGCTTGATCTTTAGCCACCGACCAGAGCTGTTTCCGGACCATCACCGACAACCCATCCTCTCCAGGATCTTTCTACGGTTTGGCTGCCATCGAGTTCTGTTCCACATTTCCGTTTGCAACTCCCTGGCGTGTGGCTACTAAAAAGCATCGCCCCAGCTCCATATTCATAGGGGTACGAGACGTTACAAAGCAACTCCGTCTTAACCAGAATCGTATATTGCTCTTCACGTGGTTTCTTACGCCGCATTTTTAATATTGAGGGACAAAGGTAGCGACTAGCGTCAAAAATGTAAATATGTGTTCCAAGCAACCTCATCCGTTTGGTATTCTCGCCGTCCCTCGTAGATGGATAGCCCTGGTCCTTATTCAATGAAGGATAACGGTGGAACTGGCTGAGTAAAGACCATCGAATCAGGGGGCATAATAGCCGTTTGAAATGGTCCTAAAAACATCATATCGAACATGACGCCTGTAACCTCCGAGGTGCCAGATTCCTGCTGAGAAGAGATTCTCGGGGTTGACAGGAAACGACCTCCATTTAGACTCTGCGTATTCAACTCTTCGGCGGTGCTAGCACCACTTGGGCTTCCATCGAAGGGACTTAGTGAATTGCCATAGGTATCGAATGCAGTAGAGCAAGCGACTAGCCTATCCACACACTTCTGCGCCTCATTCGCGATGTAGTTCTGGATGAGAACACAATTGCATTCTGTATGCCGCAGTAATTGAGTCTTTAGGTGGTAAACTTCGACGGTTAGAGAGTCGAAACACGTCATGAGATAGCGGTTCTGGTCCTCTATAGTTTCTTCTCGAGAAGCGAGGGCTAAGGCTTCATCACGCTTGCGGAGACGACACTTATTCGCCGCAATGCGATTACGTTCGAGCACCCGACGCCGGCGGGGATCCTTGGGGAGATCATCATCAAGCTCCTCCTGTTGACCTGTTACCTTCTGCTCTTTTGGCTGCTTCTTGGGTATTCGGCCCCTTTTCCTTGGCTTGGGTGACTCTGCAGCCTGCCCAGAGGCACTGGACTCGAAGAGTGCCTCGTTTGCTTGTAATTTTCTTCGGGTGTGGACCCGCCGGTTCAACATCTTGTCTTCCGTAACGGGTGGCAGTATATTTTGCAGTGTTCTGCTACCTCCGAGGTTCTTGAATTCCGCGGGCTGAGTCGATAATGCGATGTAGGTGGACTCGACACCCACTTCCATCGGGACTGGGGAGGCATCAATTGCGTCCTTAAAGAATGAGCTGGCGCCTATTTCACTTGGCGTCGACTGATATGTTATATGGTTTGGAAACATCGGGGAAGCGGTATTCATTATGCAGGATGGTGGGATCATTAGTATGGTGTGGTGGCGGTAACTTCTGAGTGAGAATCGAAGGCAAGATCTCCCAGCAGTAAAGAAAAGGGCTATACGAAGAATATATAAAATGATCTAGGTCCGTGGATTATAATTGTTAGGCCCTTTAATAAGCTGCGATGAGAGGTCTTCAATGGCCTAGATTGACACCCTGGATATGGTAGAAGAGGGAATTCAAGGAGAATTGCCCAAGTAGGCGGGCCAAACGACATAAGTAGGGCACGGGAGGATCAAATATGGCAGCTTTCACAAGCAACAGATCGGACTGCGGTACCGGGCGCAGTGCGCAAAAGCTTATCTGTACGTAGCCAGGAACACAGCACCAGCAGATACTAACCTTAGAACAGCCAGGCCATGAGCAGAAAACAGGATTTGCCCGTGGGAGCGGGATGTTCAAACGGCCAATTTTGGAACCCGAGGAGATCAAAAAGCCCTTTGTTTAAGGAGATGACGTATGCGGCCATGATTAGCAAATCTGCCAAACGTTTCGGAGTCCGGCAATTAGTCACCATCCATGTCGTTGAGCCTCGGGGGCCAGGCAATCTCACTGGGGCAATAAAACACAGCGTCATGCATGCAGTAATTCTCGACTTGCTTAAAGCTCTTAGAGTTCTGATATGCAGTGGCCTGAATGGACACCAACGAGGTTGTGAAGGTGGGGGATGGGTGAGCGGTTTACGGTATGAGCAGACATGTGATTGTGCTTGGACTTTTGGGGGCGAGGGCTTTGCATAGAGGATAACCGGACACACCAGCTCACCGGAAGGTGCCGAGTAGGGGGCCAGATGAAGATATGGCCGGGAGCATTTTGTCCCGTAGTTCTCATCCCCCATGTAATGCGGGGAATTGGAGGGGTACCACGTTCTCTTAATGAGAACTAGCGCCAGGTCCTCGCCTCTAAGTTTCAGCCATCTGCATCATATTTTCACTCGATCTCCTGACACAACATAAACTCCGTGTTGGAGCCATGGAGAGCGTCGGACGTCTGCTATGTGGTAGTTGATGATCGGTGGGTGCTCTTGCCGGTAGCTCTTGATGCTCCAGACACTGTGGATCATCAATTTGTCGGCTTCAGTCGGAGGCGGCATAGCGCATAAGATCGCGCCGCGGATAACTCAAAGTCTTCCCAAGCTAGTTGTGTGTTTCTTGATGAAATCTGTTTTGACTGGTGGTCACTGCATATGCAACCCTATGGTACCGACATCATAAGTGCGTTTTCTAAACGTTGAATCCCGGCGCGGACGAACCGTCGTATTGCAATTAACAAACAGTGGGAACGAGAGGTTTGGGACCAGCAGCCACAAAAGAACTCAATGAGCTTTAACCGTTCATTGCATCTACCCCGGCGTTGTTTTGAGTCAACGGAGCACGCCACGAACATCACGCGTCCACCAACAACAGCAACTGCATCTGAGCAGCAGTACAACCCACAGAAGTGTGACGGCGGAGCCTAAATCTTCGAGCGTCGCCAAGATTTTCCACTTTTACTGGCGTAGTGACTTCTTTTTGCGTCATCGTCATTCTCCGGTCCCGCCCCAAATCCAGCGCCTAGACGCTGTACACTGCGCACCGCGCTGCACATTGCTCACTAAAGTGGAGAGAAGGCATTGCAAGTCAAGCTACAGCTGTCAATTAGGCAAGCTATGAGTCTCTGACCTGCTATACCGAGTACGGCTTATAGGCCATGGCAAGGTGGCTCGAAACTCTCCGACCGGTCTGCAACGGTACCGTAGGATAAGTTTCCCAGCAGTATCCCTGATATCAGGGAGTGGTTAACATGTGAATATGACTGATTGCCAAGATGAAGAGGGGCTTTTCACTGTAAACTGACACCATGCAGAGAGTGCCATTTATGATGTCACTCTATCGCTTTCATGGCGTAGCAACTCCTGTCTCTTCTTCAATCTCGATTGCTATGGGCCATTATTGGCACGGCGCGACGCCCAATTTGTTGGGATCTCAACCTTCCTTTTCTCGTCAACGGTCGCGCACACCGGAGCTGCCCTCGACATCAGGGGCGAATTCTAACAACCCAAGAAACCGGAGCTTTCGTTACACCTCAAAACAAGCAGCCTAGATATACCCCTGTATGACGTGCGGTGTGTAGGAGGCAGCTCTATGAACCATCTATCCAGATGACCGCTCTACCCTCCTCAGAAGGGAGCAGCTACTTTATTTTCTCGAAAATGGAAGAATGCCATTCTCCCTCGCAACTGGCGGCCAGGACAACCACTTCTCAGTCTGGAGCAGACTCAACGAGCGACACATGCTATCAGTCTCTTGAACATCCAGACACAGCAGCCTCTTCGGCTTCCTCGCCGCCTCCAATCTACGGCGAATCAATGGATATATCCTGTTCCTCGACACCATTTAGGGATATTTCCGCCCCATCCGATTGTAATGAAGGAATTCATCTGGTCAAGCCGTCAGCAGAGCACGCTTGGTTACCCCAATTTCAGAAAGACGGTGTCTTTGTAGCACCGGACGATAGCCTGGAACGCCGGCTGGATCTCAAGGCGGGCGACTCGTACTACGCCTCGTCTGTTGACAATGATAATCCGGCCGATACGTCAACACGGCGTTCTCCAGAATTAGGAAAGTCTCACGAGCGCGCTGAAGTTGACACTGTTATTAACGCCCAGCCGTGGAGGAATGTCGACTACCTTTCCCATGACTGGAAGGAGGAAGAAATCCTGTCATCATGGAAATATATTACCACTCGCCGAGGTGAGGACCCCAATAGCGCCCGTTTGAAGAATGCATATTGGAGAATATGGACAAAATACAAAAACAACCTGAAGACTATGCCCCCCGAAGCACTCAACTGGTAAGGACATGACGGAATTAGGCAAGAGTATCAAGCTAACTTTGTGCAGGCTTAAAGATAGTGATGCGAGTTGGCTATATGGTCCCGTTCAGCAAGGTGCTAGCAAGATCTACTGTATGCAGACTGGACCTCCCAGTGCCTCATTGCTCCAGCCCAACTCACTAGTCAACACTAACAGGAAGACTATCCTGAAGAAAAGGAGCGTATCAGATACCATACTGCAGAGGCCATTGTCAACATCATCCTTACCCCAGCAGGCAGCCCCAGTGGTCCAGGTGAGGCAGAAAGACAGCCGGCGACTAAGAGAGCTTTCTTTTGATAGCTTAGCGACGATGGATCACAATATATTCCCCTTCCCTTCGATGCCAATGAGCCGTGATACCTCTAGTATGCTGCCATTGTCAGCATACACTGGGATCTCATCTTCAGGTGTTGAGCGCAAACACATCCACTTCAATTATAAAGTCGAGCAATTTATCGCCGTCGAAGTTAAAGACGACGACGATGGCGGCGACTGCGATATCAGTACCGATACCAATTCCGAAGACGGAATCATAATGAAGCTGGACAGGTCGCGAAAGACGGCGAAGGAGGGCAATTCATTACTCTCTAATGGAAAGACGATCGCGATGCTTCCATCAACAACACTAAAACATCGAGAACATATACAAGTCCCAGAAACGGTCATACGCTACACCTCTAGCGCCTTACATAATCATCGTGTTTCGCCATTCTCTCCACAAGAGGCATCTTGTCCACCTAAAGCGTCAGGTAGATTCTCCGAGGATTTAATTGATGCCGATACAAACTTAGGCTGGTACACATCTGGGACTTTCGAAGAACATGATCCGCATCACATTATTCCTACAGAGAGCTTGACCGCCGAGCCAGCTGGCATGCGTCGCACTCCGTCTGGCATGTTTATGCCTTATGAGGAGGCGGTCACATGTTCAAACAAAGGGATGTTTTGTCGCGTTATTGACACCGTTAAAACAGCCAAGGACATGGCCTATGTTATTTGGAATAGTGGCTGGAGATGAAGCTTTGGAACGATGGAGACATTTTTACCTCTTGAAATGACGACTCTCTTTCCTTCCTTGCCAGTCCATCTCTATTGTGAGCGTAGCTGCCGGTGTGCCAGTGCCAAACCACCAGGGCATCGTAATGTATTCCCTGGAGGAGCACTGAGCTGCCCGCTTAAGCCTAGCCGTCTCCGCTTGGCGCTGTTGCTGGCCGTGTCACCCTCGCTCCGTCCTAGCGAACCGGCAGGTTGAAACGAGTTAATACATGGGGTTAAAGAGAAGAGCGTTAAAATCAAGGACAGGGATCGATTTGTAGAGAATAAACGTGGTTAGCCATAGACAGAGCACTGTGTCCCCTAGCTGTCAGTTTATACGAGATTACCCCCACAAATGTGACATATCCTAGTTGAATGATAGAGCAAACTCCCGCAATCGTGTGTTATTTTGAATGTAGGCCACGAGTCGCATATCCTTCTTACATATAAATCGAACCATAATTAGGGTAATAACGCCCATCATAAACCCGGTTCCGTCAAAGTTAATAAATATCGACATCATCGATGCCATACTTAGCCCTCAACTTTCGCACAAGCTGGAACCAAGCCAAAGTTTACCGGGATCTTCTTGTAAGGCTCTTTGGTAATCCTAAATGCTATAAATATGGGATTGAAGCAGCCGTTCTCGTTTGACAAAGTATCCAGCCCATAGCTTGCCAACTTTCTCTTTAGCACGCTCTCCGAGCAGCAGATTGGCCATATCTTCCACGTCAGCAAGCTTTGGCGGGAAACCTTACGAATGCAGATCTATATGTTCAAAGACGGCCTCTTCTTCCAGGTTAGTAAGTTTGCGAGAGTTGGGCATGATATCGCGTCGCGACGGACGGCCTTTTATTCTGGCGCGTGGTGTTGATTCAGGCACAGTATGGATTTTTTTTTTTACCACCTGAGTCATGGGAAAATTGCCCTTTGCTCGAATAGCTTGAACAGTTAGGAGTATTCACCTTTCATTTGAATTTGATTCCATGTTGTGCGGTTGAACGGAATGATGTCAAAGTAAGAGGAGACGCGTCGGGTCGAAAATCCGCCGTTCGCTTATATCCGACACTCGCTTATAAAACACGTTAGCAATACAATCCACTTCTTAACCATAACACTCAGTCTAATTCGAAACTTCAACTCAATTGCAAGGCTACCAAATAAATGACACCACTATATAAATTCGTCTTTTGATTATGGTGATTCTCTATTTGTGTCGTATACAAATACTAGGTGTGCTTTCTTTGGGAACCTATATGTCGCGGAGACCCCATTTCTGAAAACGAGCATACTAGGGTGCACGATAAGCATGCGAGACAAAAACCCCTCAACCTTACATCTAACTATCTGATCAATTATTTCCCAACTATATAATATGCCAAATTCTGATCAAGAGGCTAGAATTATTCTTGCACTTCAGGCCTATCAGGCAGACCCTAAATTAAGTCTGTGACGAGCCGCATTTATCTATACGTCCACTTCCAGACCCTCTATCACCGATCTCTTGGTCGACAAGCTCGCAGTGATTGGGTTCCAAAGCAACGAAAACTAAGTGATCTGGAGGAACAGATTATAGTTCAGTATATCCTTGACCTAGATTCGCGAGGATTTCCTTCCCAGCACCGTGATGTTGAAGAAATGGCGAATCGACTACTTGCTGACCGCGATGCGTCACCAGTTGGCAAGCGCTGGGCTATCAATTTCATCAAGCGGCAACCAGAGCTCAAGACGCATTTCCAGCGGAGATATGACTATCAAAGGGCCAGATGTGAAGATCCAACCGTTATTCGCAATTGGTTTAGGCTTGTACAGAATGTAATTGCAAAGTATGGCATCCGATCCGATGATATCTGGAACTTTGACGAGACCGGCTTTATGATGGGCATGATCTCAAGCTGTATAGTTATTACCAGCTCAGAGAGGCGTGGAAGACCGAAGTCAGTACAGCCTGGAAATCGGGACTGGCTTACGGCAATCCAAGCGATTAATGCAGAAGGTTAGGCAATCGATCCATTTATCATGGTTGCAGGCCAATATCACCTTGCTAATTGGTACCGAGAAAGCAACCTCCCAGCCGATTGGGCTATTGCCACGACCCAAAATGGCTGTATAGATAATGAGACAGGTCTCGAGTGGCTAAAGCACTTCAACCGATGCACAACCAACCGATCAACTGGTCCCTATCGTCTTCTGATCCGTGATGGTCACGAAAGCCACCACTCTGCCGATTTTGAGAGATACTGCGAGGATAATAAGATTATGACGCTCTGTATGCCGGCTCATTCGTCGCATCTATTTCAACCTCTTGATGTTGGGTGCTTTGGGCCGCTGAAAAAGGCATATGGTCGAGAAATAAACCATCTGATCAGAAGGTCTATAACCCATATTTCCAAGACTGAGTTCCTCCCGGCCTTTTATGCCGCTTTTCAAGCTACTATGACCGAGAATAATATCAAGGGTGCTTTTAAGGGAGCTATACCTGTTCCTTTTAACCCGAAAAGTGTGGTCTCAAAGCTTGATGTGCAGGTGCGGGTTCCAACGCCTGTTGAGGAGGAGGCTAGGCACCCTAGCCCTTGGATCTCTAAGACCCCAAAGACCGTCCTCGAGGCTGAATCTCAGTCTAAATACCTCGAAAGACGAGTCAGAAGGCATCGAAGTAGCTCCCCAGATTCTATTCTAGATGCACTAAAGTTTCTTTCAAAAAGGAACGAAGGCGGTTATGCATGAGATGGCATTGATGAGGTCTGAGGTCCAAGACCTTCGACGGGCAAATGAGACACTAAGCCGGCGCCGGAGGGCAAAAAGGACCCGCCTACAGAAAAGAGGGACGATGAATCTAGAGGAAGGTAGGGAAGCAGTTGGCCAGAAGGAGGTTAATGCGCAGGCGGTGGCCGAATTGTCGAGAAGTGGTGGTCAAGGAGGGTCGGCACGAGTAAAGGAAAGGCGTTGTAGAACATGCGGCAAGACAGGGCATAATACAAGAACCTGCCAGATAGTTGTCGTTATGTCTGGGGAAGAGTATAGCGATTAGTTTTAATTGATTGGATGATTTGTTGTGTTTTTATGGTGATTTCTATCTCAAAGGTTGAGGTTTTTGGTCCACCCGCTTGTCTGGTCCACTTGCTTATCATGTACGTTATCATTTATAATGTATAATAAGGTTTTATATAGAAAGCAAAACAGCTAAAGGTCTATAAAAATAATATTTAAGTGTAAATAACTATACTATGCCTAGAAATACTTTTTTAGATTTTTAGCTATTTCATGAAAGCGTAAGGATACTCTAGGGTAAGCTATTTTAGCTGCACAGTATGCTGTTTCGCCCGCTTATCTGTTTCGCTCGCTTACCTCGTACGTTATACTAAAGAAATCATTATTAAAATGTGATGGTTGTGTTTCCCAACGAGTGAACTAAACCGTTATAGGGTTTATGTTGGCAGGATCGTAGGGCGTGATGTCTGAGCGTAGCGAAGATGTCACGTCTCTTAATGGGCAAGTAAACGCGTGTCAGACTTTATTGGCATAAAGAAGTTTTATTGATAGCTGGTGAGCTAGAGTCTAGGAAAGTGCTAATGAGTGTGGTATATATACTAGGTAGCTCACGAGGAAGTGTGTGAGTCCGATGATGATGACTCAATGGATTGGAAGTGAGTAACATGGTTCTGCTCATCTATGAACGTCTGGAGACCAAGGCTCATTTGCATGTTACGCCTCTAGACATTCTTAAGACCGTTGTCTTCTAAAATGACCCATAATGGCTTTTGACAGGCCACGCAAAATAGTGGAATGCGTTTCGTCCCAATTGGCGCCTGGCACAGAGTTGATGACGCACAGAACACGGATGTCAATGCCCCGAGGAGATCGAATAGGAACAGCAGCATAAAATCTGGCGACGCTGCAAGGACGACAATACGAGTGAAAGCACGGGCCTGCGACCAGGTGTTGGACAATGATAACCGGTAGCTCCGCGGAAACATTTTCCTCGATTGACTCTTTAATGCCCCTCGAGATCTTGCGTTAATTAGCACGCAACGTATAATCACAGACCCCATCACCGCGAGGAATAGATGTTCCACAGGGCCGAAATGCCTCGTTGCTGCTGCTTTGAAATGGGTTGGGCACTGTTGAAGCAAAAATGGGTTGATTGTGTTGTTAGTTCTAACTTACATGTATCCGAGAGGAGCACAGCTCCTTACTTTGTATCCACATCCCAGCCACTAGCAGATCAGGCCACCTTAGTCACACGGTATCAAAGAAGGCTACCTCGTCTTTGACCACGATGAGGAGTGGCGTGGTCAGGGCTCCATCTACATTGATGCCCAAGCTGGTGGCATGCCCCAAATGATGTATGCGACTATTTTTCCCAGCGGCAACCCGATAGCGGGAGATATCAGACTCAGCATTCACGGTGTCACTGAGACTGACTCAAGTGTAAGCAGAGTTTCGATACGGAGATAAGGCTTGGAGGAGTGGAAAGGCGAATACGGAGTACTACGAGGGCGATCTCTTTGTGTGTAAGGTTGGACAGTGGCAGTTTCCCAGTGGCATTTTGCCGAGCTACGAGTCGGTCGATCTGGTTTGTGGCTTTTCATGCTAGCAGGAGATTGAGGCGCGAGAAGTAGCCGTGTATGTAAAGATATTAAAATATTTTAATTATCACTGACTTTGGTCAATCTGACAAATTGAAACGGCAACCTTTCCCCACTCTGCTGGCATAGAGCTCATAGCTTGCTCTGGTCTGGAAACTTGCGCAGCATATCAGCCAACTTGTCCATAGGCGCGGCCATGAGACCCATGACAGTCTCGAACGGTGGCTTCTCGCCTGCCCTGGGATGGCTGCGTGTCGGCACAAATTTCTTTGTGTGGTCGAACCTTCTCGCCAAAAACTCCATCTCCTCACCCTGGGCCTTGAGCGACTGTTCAAGAGCCGGCAAATCAAGCCTCTCCTCCTCCTGGATGTGCTGCCAGAGCGGGGCCCAGAGTTCCTTGAGCTTCGGCACGTAGTCTGGATCCGTGGATTTCATGTTCTGGAATTCTTTGAGAAGTTCCTTGATCTAATTCAAAGTTATATGCTTTTCTTGATCCATGGTTCATTCTGGGTCCTACCTTGTAGTGTTCCTGACGATCGCTGTCTGCAATCTCCTGACCCTTGGGGCCCATATACTTCTCAAAAGCAGGATAGACTACCAGCTCCTCGCCGATGGAGTGACGCATGAGTTCCCAGACGAACTGGTTCCTAAAACGTTGCTGATGGTCATGGTCGGTAGAGTTTATGACCTCATTGTAGTACTTTTCCAGCTCGCGGTGGTCCTGGATGATAGCATCTGAGATGGCCGATGATAACGCGGCGGTCTGGATTCGCATGAATCTCGGCGAAGCACGAAGGACTTGCGGCCGGAGAAGGGTTCGGAGCTGGAGAGATATGAGGGCGCGCATGGACGACATTATGAAGAGATGAATAGACTCGTTCGAAATACCATATCAAGGTGGTTCTGATATTGGCTGCTCTACTCATGTACCCGTCTGGTCTTGCTAACATGACGCACGGATGATGAGCTACATGCTATCGGGGATGTCTCCGCAGCGACAGTTGACGCTCAACATAGCGATGGATGACGGATAGGGCGTAAAAATAATGTTGTAGTGCTACCCTCGGGATATGAGGATCAGCCACTCATAGCAAGTCATTTTAATTGCTCTCATATCATTCGACGTGGGCCGGATTAAAAGCTCCTGCCGCACCCAGGTCGACAGATCAGCGACGTCATATGCTCAGGGTACTGGGGCGAGTCATACAGGCACAGCTAGCTGTGCCAATAATATCTGTTATATAAGAGGCATACGTGACCTTATTTCAATCCCTTCAATTCAACCATCAACAGCTTCTGCGATACCAATTCAACTTACTGTGCCTTTCTTTATCTATAATGAACCCAATTGACGCTTCTCGTTACTTCCCTGATGACGCCCTTCCTCCTGAAGGCAAATTCCGCTCACGGAAGAAGCTTGTTACAGCAATCAATGCTTGGGCAGCGCCCCCAGGCTATGCATTCTCAGTCAAGAACTCTTGGAAGACCTCTAGTGGAAGAATTGAAGCTATCTACGTATGTAACCGTGGCACAAAGCCCCCTCGTAGCTCATAGAAACGGCTGCAAGAGACTGCAATACGTTATACAGGATGCACCTTATCTGTCATAGCGAAGGAAGTCTATGTAAGACTACATGGAGTCTAAGGCATCGTCCTGGGGCTGGTTTTGGTAAACACAATCACGAATCAAGTCCCAATGAAGCAGTACATACACAACATCGTCAGCTATCAAGCCTCGATACATCAAAAGTCCAACAATTCGCCAATGCTGGCGTTGCGCCAAAGGAGATTAGATCCTACTTACATATGAATTCAGATATGCTTGCTACGCAGCAGTATATCTACAATTGCATTGCACGGGGCAAATGAGAGCTTGCTAAAGGTCAAAGCAATATGTGTGCCCTTGCCGATGAGCTTAACAATGAGAGCTTCTGGAGTCAAATATGCCTTGACGAGAGTGGCAGAGTTACAGTAGTACTATTTGCACACCGAAGATGACTACAATACCTCAAATCATATCCTAAAGTGCTTCTATTGGACTGTACATACAAGACCAATAAGTACAAGACGCCTCTTCTTGTTATAGTCGGTATTGATGCTTGTCAACGATCCTTCTGTGTTGCATCTGCATCCCTTAGTGGCGAGAAAGAGAATAACTTCATCTGGGTCCTTGGGCAGTTACGGGGTATATATGAGCTTCATGGAGTAGCTCTTCCATCTGTGATACTTACAGATCGCTGCCTTGCTTGTATGAATGCTGTTTCTTCTTGTTTCCCTGAGTCAACCTTATTGTTATGCTTATGGCATATTAACAGAGCAGTTTAGACATATTTTATGCTCGGATTTACTCAAGATAAGAACTATACTTAAAGGCAGGAAAAGTGGAACGAGTTCTACGACTCCTGGCATAAAATCGAGGCCTCAATGACTGCGGATATCTATAACGAGAGGCTTCAGAAGCAGGGCTGCCGTCAGATCAGATTAACAATCAGATATATCAATCAGATCAATCAATCCAAATCAGATACAGAATTTCATAAGATCAATCAACTCAGATACAAGCGTCTATACCCGGCTGGCTGATAAAAGTGGTTTTGCCCCCGCCTCCCCCCCCCTTTCTAAGGAGCGGGTGCCGTAACCTCTAATGGCGTACAAACCATAACCAGATAACCTAACTTCAATATATCACAACGATCTCAATCCTTGACCGATTTTCTTTAAATTACCGCTGTATCATTTCTCGTACCTTATTTCCCAATGACTTCAATTTCGGAGAAATCCCGCAAGAATGCGGCAGCTGGCGGCCGCGCTTGGCTTGCCCGCACCAGCCTCCCTCTCACAAAGTGATATCGCAGCCCAACGCCACGCAAATCTGCCTCTTATGAAGCAATATATATATCTCCTAAAAGCTGGGAAGCCGTTACCGACGATAAAGGCATCTATTTCTAAAGGAGGGCGCCCAATGGCGCTCACAAAGGCAGAAGAGCGCGCTCTCATTGAGTATCTTCGCAATGTTGAAACCAGCGCTTTCGCTGTGACCGAAGCTTGTATCCGCAACTATGCCAGCCTCATTCGCCAATTTCAACTAAAAGGACGAAAAACGAGGTTATCGCAAGCCTGGGTAGGGAATTTTAAGAAGAGGCACCCAGAATTACAGTGTAATCGTCCCAAAGTCAAGGAAATCCAACGAGCAAGCGCAGAGACCGATATCCCTCGCATGGAAGGCTGGTTTGGGGGTTATGAAGGCACAGTCATAAGAGAGGAAATTCGTCCTCAAAATCTATGAAATTTCGATGAATCCCCTATACAAATTGGCTGGATTGACAGCAACCTGAAGCTATTTTCAACTCGCAAGAAAAAAACACCAGGCCTGTTGCTTTTCAGCCGGGGAATAAGGAGTCAATGACCGCTGTGGATGCGATCAACGCCATAGGACTAGCAATTCCTTCTTTCCTTATCTTTGCGATGGAATCTCTGCTTGAAGAATATGCTTTTGCTGATATAGATGAAGATATTATCCTTACACAGGGTTCAAATCCACGACACTCCACGACACATTTGTGAATATGGCGTGGATATGGATGCTGACTAATAACTTCGATGTGGAATGGGTGGAAATGGATCCATTATGGAAATGAATCCATATTGTGGAATTTGTGGAATGGAAACCTACTTTGTCTAACAATGGTAATTAGTGGGTCGCATCCATGCCTTGGTGACGTCGATGTTTTTGTCACTCGTCTATTAGAATCCTATCTAGCGACTCGATCAAACCGGCACGCAACCAACTCCGTAGTGTCTGACAAAGCCCAATTGTACTGGCATCTAGCCTATTGCGGCTCTTGGTAACCATGCGGCCAGTGGTCGAGAATAGCCTCTCACACTCGGCTGACATTGGTGGCACAGTAAGCAGATCCAAGGCCATCCTAGACAACCGGGGGTATTTGAGCCGCCTTATGTGCCAGTATTCGTAGGGATCTGTGACAGAAGCATCAGCATCGTCGATATCACGCTGCCACTGTTCGTATTCATCAAGATCCAGACCGCCAACTGAGGACCTAGGGGATTGAGCTGGGGATTGAATTGGCGACTCGGTAACAGAAATCCCTCCAGCCGTCAGTCCTCGCTTCTTTGTGCGCCACGCTGTGAACTTGTTTCTTGAGGTCTTCAGCCGCTTATTGGCAGGCAACTCAATCTCTGGGCCATCAACCTCCAGGTCCCTATACTCTCTCTCCCAGAGATCCTGGACCATCTCCTTCGCCTTGGTAATCCACAACTGTCTTTCATCGTCGTCTCCCCACAAATCGTCAAACAGTGCCCACCGGTAGGCAGGATGAAGAACTGCGGCGCCATAGATCAGGGGGCTATCGTTCAGATGCTCGTAGTATTCGTTCAATTTGAGCCAGCCCAGGTTGATGTTGACAGCGAGGTGATGGCCGTCCGGAAAATTGGCGACTGCTCTTTTCGCGGATTCGAGGGTTTCGAGAAGAAATTCGTACGCGTGAATAAGATCCCAGCTTGTTCCTGTACAAGTCAGCTGTTAGAATAAGAATCGAGCCGCTTTTGAGAAGTCTAAGGCTTACCGGACAGTGGAGGGTCGATCTCGTTTTCCTCGACCTTTCTCCGGTGTTTTCCCTGTCCATCACCCTCAAGACCTCTCACAACCAGCTGGAAGTCAAGCAAAATGTCGTAAAGAGTCCCGAGCACATGCCAATCATCAGCTGTCATGCGATTCTCTTCCTTCAGGAAGAAGGGCAGCTTGGAGCCCTTTTTGACGTGGCCAGCTCTCGTCAAGTTGACCTTCTCCCACTCGTTTGACGCTCTCTGGACAAAAGAATTATAAAATGGCCTCAAGACGAGAGCACGCTCGATCATCGAGAATTGAGAAAGCCACCGGGTAGCATTGTCGACCACAACTCCAACTGGACGGTGTTTCTTGAGCTGAGCGTCATCAGAGAGTTGGCTCTCGACAGCCTGTACCTTCTTGAGCATATCGGTCCACGTGTCCGATCTGCTCACCTCCTAGGTCTTCGTGAGTATAACAAATAAAGCCGGGGACTCAGTCACCTACAACAGCAAAGTTATGCCATTTTCCAACAGAGCCTCGCCTCCTCCAGACTTCATGCTCCTTCGCTGCCGTGTGAAGTCCTTCGAAGACCTCTTTCTCGAAAGCATCCGGGTTCTTGCCATACAGCATCTGTTTCACTACTATGTTGACAACGTGGCCAACGCAGCGAACCCATCGCTTCTCCCAGTCGAAGCCAAATTCTAATCCAAGTTCCTCCATCGAGGTTTTATTGTTACTGGCATTATCCAGTGTGAAATATCCGAGTTTATCGCTGATCTCGTACTCCCGAATGATCTCGATAATCTGCCCGGCGATATTCTCGCCTGTGTGCCGCTCTGTAAGCTCAGGCAGTCCGAGAACACACTTCTGCGGCCGATTGTTTGAATCCCGAAACACACATGTGATGCCGTATAAGGCGTGTCGGTTACCAGACTTCCAGCCATCGTACTGGATATGGATCTGTCCCGGACTCTTTCGCAAAGCATCCTTCACTCTTTCCATGTTGTTGGTAAATTCTCGTTCTGCGATGGCACGCACGGTCACGTCAGTAATGTTAGCTTTTGTGATCTCAACAGATGGATTGAGGTAGTTGAAGATGTCTCGAAGATCTTGATCGTTGACGATCGAGAAGGATTGGTTAGAATTGACAATCCAGTTGACAAGTTTCTGCTGGAATACAGTTTTGTCGAAACGTTTGATCAAGGTATTGATCAAATCTTGTTCCTTCGGCTCCTTCGGGTTCAACTGTAGGATTGCTGCAATGGACTGATGTGCTTTTTCGGATGCCTTTGCAGGCTTTTGCCTCTTGCCTGTCGGATCCATGATGCCATTGTGGTCCGTGTACAGGTGACCCTCAGCGTTCTGCAACCCTTTGATGGCATAACTCTTTGGCCTCGGCCGCTTTTGCTTGATGCAAAGGCAACACACCCATCGGCGTTCCCCCTTTTGGGCATGCTGGATATCGTAGCCGAACTGATATACCCATTGACGCACTTGGCCGTCTCTCTCCGTCAAGGTCCAGCCTTTGTAGAGCTGAAAGAGTCGTTGATTGTCTTCTTCTGTACGTTCTGGAACGGGTGTGGTTGACTTGGTAGGATGAAGGGTGGCCATTTCGATTTGGGGTAGTAAGGGCGTGAGTAATAGTAAATCCTCCTAGAATAGACTTGTTTGAACTTTGTGTACGGGTAAAACGGAGTGGAAAATTGTTGCTATTGCGTTGTTATTGGCGATGGAAAGTACTTAGGGTATGCGCTATTTCACAAGGAAATCCAGGTATTTTCAAACCCCACCTAAATTTCCATTCCTTTCCACAATTTCCACATGTGGAACATGTGGAAGGGGTTCCGTGGCGTGGATATGGAAATGCTGAAGCCTACGTGGAATGGAATGGAATGGATATGGATCCACATTATGGATCCATATGTGGATTTCGTGGTATGGATTTGAACCCTGTCCTTACACATACGGAAACAGGATTTAATAACAGTCAGAGAGCTCTCCAGTGGCTACAACACTTGAATATATACTCCTTCGCAGAAAGCAGCGATTCCGATGACTTTACGATTGAGCAGTGGTTTGGGTACGGTCCCGAGATCACAAGGGAAACTTGGTCGCAAGAGATCGCCTTCCGGGCCTCCAAAAATTCCGAAAAAAGTCTCCCAATTAAGAGAAGGCTTCTTATGGATGGTTTCTCAGTTCATGAGGATCGCCCGTTCATTTGGTATTGTACAATGTTCGATATTATCCCTTATCAACTCCCTCGTCATACAAGTCATCTCCTTCAGCCTCTTGATGTTGGGGTCTATCCCTTTGAGCGGTACAGCCCTTCAGGAGGTCGCTCGCTCCACTTTTCTTAGTAACAAGGTCAGTACTTGCGGGGTACAGGAAGTTCGTAAGATATTTGCCAAGTCTGTAAGGTAGCTCTTTGTAACAATCAAAACTGCTGGGACTTTTACTATTATACAAATTAGTATGTGGGGAGAAGTACCGGTAGTTTTCTTCATTTTGATTGGTCCTATACCCCTGTCGTGACCCCGCCGAAGGGCTGTACCGCTCAAAGGGATAAGCATGTCAAGCGCGCACAACGAAGTGCTTTATATGACTTTATTGGAGGCGGCGGACTTCAATTATCGAGATTTCAGTTCCTGGGTATGCGGAATCGTTTATACAAAGCTGCCTTTAGAGCCTGTTGTTCTCAGTTTCTATAACGTGCGGACCGGAGAATTGTGCCAACCTAGAGATTCTGATGACGTACTACCAAGGCCTATTCGAGCGCATTTTAGGTACACACTGGCACTGTCCCACCGGAAATAATGACACGTCACTATACAAAGACGATGCCGCCGGCTAGGCGGCTTATTCCAAGGCCCCAAACAGCATGTGGTTTTTGAGCAATACTCCGGCGAAGCGGATGAGCAAAGCAGAGGCAAATGCACCTGTGGTTTCAGAGGCTCACTAAGATAGAATATAGGCGACGGCTGGTCTTGCACGGAGGGTATTGGGTTCGGAGGGGGATCCACCTCGTCTCGATGAAGTGGCTGATCTAAGTTCATCTCTTTGTACAGTCGATGTCGTATTCTGGCTTGCTGATGATGCAAGTTCAATCGTCTATGACGGTGAGGCACGTCGTTCAATGCAAGTGGTGCCCTGGGACAAGATTGACAAACATGAATGAATAAATCGGTGATTTAAAGCAGATGGGAGGAGAGCATATGCTAAGAAAATATGGTAAGGGGATGGGGTTGGTGATTTTAGGGACTGAAATATAAGCTGCCTAAGCTCGCTGCCGTCTCCGCCATGGCAGACCCCGCTCTAGTCGAATCTGCAATCTGTCATCATTCTGACGCATGTTATCTTTTGCTATCTTCACTTATTCGGATAGAGAACAGCGGCTCCTCCCGGAATGCCTAGCTAGCAGCTCCATTTATAAAATCGAGCCATTGTCAGGTACTCAATTACAAGCTTAGAAGCTGCGGCCACCTTCAACACGCAAAATGTGGGGCATTTCCGTATTTCAAGACCTGTATTTCTCTCTGGTGTTGGCGTTTCGAGCTGGAAAAGTAAACAAGACACGAAGTGCTGTGAGTTACAAATCTAATATCACACCTCACAGCATCCTTGCTGACCGACGAAGAATCATGCTTATGTGTGCGTTGACTGTTACGACAACTTGCTATTGTCTGATTCTGTAGGGTTCCTTTGTTCCCGAATGCGTCTATAAGTCGATGGCCGGTAACCAGAGCTTTAGGAATCCGTCTCCTCGTTCGAGCGGCCAGCCAGCGACAAGTAACGCAAATGTGAGCCCTCTGCTCATGAGAGGGCGAATTGCAGTCCCTAAAGGAATGTTTTTATTTTGTTTGGGGTTTTATTTTTTTTTTTTAAAAAAAAAGGAAGAAGAAAAAAGAGAAAGAAAAAGAAAAGAATGGAGGAAGGAAGACAAAAAGAAAAATAGTCGAACATGTGCAGAAGCATCAGCCCTCAATGGTCAAGCCATGATTCTCAATGGCCTCACGTTGAGGGCCACTTATGAAGACCATTCAGGAGCGTGATTGCTGGACAAGCGAATACGACATGGGAAGGCAGAGTACGTTGTAGAATTGAAGGGCCGGCCGGATATGAAGATGTCGTGGTAGAACGAAAGGACGATAAGCCGTGTACGAATCAGTGAGTCAGCCTGCTGGGCTGAGGACTTTCTCCAGTGGTAACTATTCATTAGTAGCTGTCCCTCATGCACTGCATGCTGGCTTAATTGCCTCCAAGCGGTCTGTCGATGACTGAATTGTAGCATCCGGCATTTCGAGCTGAACGTTGACGACAAGTTTGCCCTCGAACCTTGTAATGTGGCACACTCAGAAGAAAATATACCTGCTCGCAACCATCGAGAAATAAAGAGTGGAACAGTTGAACTGAATCAAAGTCAATGCGATTTTCCTCGCAGATTGTTTTAGTTCAAGACAGATATGCTTTTATGATGTTTTGACGAATGAGAATGTGAAGCGCGAGTTGTTGGGAGATGCTGATATTCTTTTTCCCATTTGAGAGAGTGTGTACATCTCTATCACTTCTCCCACTTTCGCTGAAAGTGGTTTGTACGTATAATCATTGGCTCACAATCGCTGTGGTTCCCCACAATCCACTCTCACCAGAAAAAGGCCTCTCAATATGACACCCTGATTAAATTTAACGCGTCAAAGTGGGATTCTGGCTTCCCGGTTGGCTGGCTTGTTATATCATTTCCTCTACGCGAATTCGTTTGAGTTTAAGTGGTTCTAACGAAGCTAACGCGTCCCCTGTATGGATTGATTGCAATCCGTATGGACTTTAGTGACTTTGGAAATTGTAACGATGTAAATAGCGTACTACCTAGGGAGGAAGTCGGGATTATCCTTGAGCTACTCACATATCAAATTACGCATCACTTATAACGACCTCTAGTCCTGGCAGTTCCTGCCCGAGAAGCGCCTTTATTTCGAGAACTTCCATCATGGCTTCATCAGAGTCCAGAAAGAGCTGTGCGATGTCGTGGGCGTGACGTTTGCGACTAACTCGAACTCTTTAAAAATGTAACTCCGGGGCCCCTTAGCCGCATCCCTAATGGCGCTTGGGGCTTTCCTACCGATAAAGGTTAATTCACCTACGGGAAGGTTATTCTGCGGCAAGACAGTCGCGGTCCGTGCTTCATTTTATATACACGCACCATGGTTATTTCAGCGTGAACACACACAGACATAGTAGAATAAAGCCCAGACTCTCAGATTATTCCTCTAAGGATTATAGATATGCCTCCATAAATCCGGGAGCAACCGAATCGCGACGTTATAGACCTAGATGATGGGATTGGGGCTTGCATAATAGGCGTTAAACGGCGTCGGCTGCGCAGTTTGCATAGATTTAGCATGTAACCCTCTCGAGCCTCCTACCTGTTGCTAACCAAACATGAACCAGGATGCAGGGAGCTCTCCACATGCACGATTTAGTCAACAAGGTGTCAGGCATACGGCTTTGCAACGACATGACATGGCAATGGCGAACTTTCTGAAACCAGCGCCTACCACAGCAAATAGCTGGACGTTTGAGATTGGTTCAGCATCTTGGCTTGGTTCATCAGAACAAGCCTCCTACCACCGTGTAGACACAATATTACAGTGCAGCCGGCTCCATACGGCAAAATCATTTGTCCACGTTTAGCGTAAATGGCCACCCGCCAATTGAACGCAAGAATTGCCGAACTAATACAGCCAAACCAATCGCACCCACAACGGCACGAGCTGGTGGATTTTGCCATCAGAATGATATCCACTACAGCTGTTAGGTCGTTGATTAATTTATAGATACAAATTTAACCCTTCCGGCTGCGCTGCGTTGAAGGCTTTACTAGAAAGATTCCATACCCTGGCCCTGCGGATCCTTGATCTCATTCTTTTTGATCCATTTTGCACCTTTCTTCTTCGTTCCGTTAAAGAATCAACATACAACTAAGCTATCTTTGATAGATGATATTTTCCCTACGATGACCAGCCCCTGTGCGAGTTACTATGTAAGCTTCCATACCTGACTCAAAGTCTAGAGTATTGACCACGAACAGGGCTCTGCCAAGTGCCGCAATAGTGTCCCGATATTTGGTGCCCGGTGCGATTTCTGTTTGGTGCAGTCTTCCTAGACGCAATTGTGTCGTTCCCACGCTAACCCCAAATATGACACTAGACCGCAGGTGCTGGGATGCCTATGAACAACTTGCTGCCTCACCCCTCGACTCCATTCAGCGAATATGCAAACCCCATGAATGAGAACGTACAGACCAATAAGGCAGCTGCTAGTAAGGAGGGTATGGCATACTGGAAGAGAGCCTATGCTGCTCCTTGGTCCGTTCAGAAACTTGTTTATCCGGATGAATTGGGGATTCTGAGACAACAATGATAGCATGTTCTTTCTTTCTGATATTTAGTGCTAGCAACAACCACTACCATCGCACTTCCCCCAATAGGTCCCGAGCAATCCCATCCACTTAAAGCCTTTGAGGTATCATCTTGCTAGGTAGCCTCGATCGACGTCTAATGAGGGGAAATATTAGCATTGGCCGGGCAGCGGCCATTGAATCAGGCGGCATGGCGGCCGTTTGACATGGTCCTAAATCCATTAAACATGTCTTCGCTAATCTCCGACACCTTAGATCCTTACTGAAAAGGGTTCGTCCCTAACTGTGGAAGGTTGTCCGCTTTCAGACGCTGCATAATCAACCAATCGGCGGTGCTGGTAACACTTAAGGTCCCATAATCCATCCGCGGCGAACTGTCGTGGGCATAATAGGCTGGAGAACAAGCAAGCAGTCCAAGCACAGATTTATTCACCTAATTGATGATGGACTCCTGGATGAGAACATACTTGCAGTTTATAATGCGGCTGTGACGGGGTCCTCAGGCAGTACCGGTAATATGAGATAGCCTCAGATAGACAGACCAGGCTTCAGCTACTGGAGATGGGATGCTAAACACTTGAAAAAATATGCCTTCAAGCAGGCCTGGCGCAAGGACAAGCGAGGCTAGTAAGAATAGCAAGATGTAAGTGTTGGCGAAGTCGAAGGGGGGTGAGTTATGGGACCAGAAGTGGGGAAAAAGAATGTAACGAAATCCAACGTCTTGGGCCCTATGAGGCGTATCCTCCTGGGCGTAATAAATTCATTCATTCATTTATTAAGGTCATTTAAACGACTACAACCGCGTAGGATATAATCAAATCAAATCAAATCAAATCAAATCGAGGAACTTTCCGATCATTTCCTGAACCAAAATGAGAGAGGTTGTTTCCTCTTCTCTCTTCTGATTGTAACCCTATTAGAGGGAGCAGGTGGAGGTCAAAGCGCGAGAAAACGAAAGTTCACGCTATGTTTCAGAGAGCTGGTAGCTCACAGTTGGGACGCTGGGAATTATCAAAGCTACGAGAGTATGACATCATCGGTCAATCAGCGCCGTTCTACCAATGCCGACAGCTTTCTGGTGTCCTCTGTGGCCTGGGAGGGGGCTTGTTGCTGGGTTGTTGCACTGCAGCATACGGATAGAGCGGTTGCAGAGGTTTTTGCGCAGCTAGGGTCCTCCTTGTCGCGAGGACTATGACGAGGTGACAAGCTTTCTTGTGCGACAGGGTTAAATACATGTTAAAGGGAATTCGTTTTCTAGGGAACCCTATGACCGCCCGTTCTCTTACAACGCCACGCGAAAACGGGGGCGTGTGTCTCGCTAAACACCTTTACCTGACGCCTGGCGGAGCACTCATCGTATCCTGGGGTACAGGGGGACTCCCGCACTCTTCTCCCTGCCCAATGGTACCCTGTATCTTGCGCCCCTGGCTGCTTCACTTGATATTACTTTTCACTGGGCAGTGCAAGCACCAGACTGGCCAGGAATTTAAGAAGGGTATCGACCTCACTCTTCCCCACGAGGAGGTTGTTGATCATTCTTACTAACGACTCATGAAGAAACTATTGACACTCGCCATCGCCTCTTTCCAGATTGTGCTTCCTTGCAATACGTCCCGCATCACTCAACTCTCTCATACAACTACTATCACTGCCAGTCGACATTACTCAACACTCAACACTACTAAACATTACAAGCTGAGCCAATCATACTCAGCTTTCTTCACAACTATTCGAAGCTACTCAAATTATGCTACACCATAGTCAACATGCCTACTCAGCGGCCTTCGCAACTCCCTCCTTGCCCCGGACCGCCTCCTCTGCCCAAGTAAGGCTAAGCAGGTAGACAACTCCAGCGGCGGTCGAACAGCAAACTACTCTCGTCGGCTCGACTTTTAGGAATCATCGGCTTTAGCCTCCGCCTTTTATAATAGCATGACTCATGGCTTTTACCAGTTCTAGCAGATGCAGCAACCTCTCGTCCTCGGTTACACAAGTAATGGACAAGGTTCGCTGCGGTCTCGTTAGGGATTCCCGATGGCGCGCACGCGCATAGTGCACATGCGAGTCTCGCAACTCCAACACAACTCCAACCCGTTTCCGCATGCACCCTATTAATCACAACTAATATTGGGTTCTTGTGAGCTGGTCTTGATCTGGTCAGTCATCTACCAATAACACCGCCCCTGACCTCATCGATTCGGCCGTCGAATCAATCTACCTATACCGGATCGTCACAAAACCGTCCTGGGCCGCTCAGCCAACCCAGGTGCTCACGGCCCGACCACATGGCCGACCTCTTAGAGACACACCCTTCTTTCATCATTTTTGGCAGTACCGGCCAGGCTCTCTTAACTTTACTTCTTTGCGTGCACCTCTCATCTGGACCTGCCTTGCACCACTGCTTCATCTGCCTGAGAAGATCATCAGCAATCTCCTCTGTATCCCCGGCAAGGCCGTCCGAATCTTTGCCAAAAAAAAAAGCGCCCACATAACAAGATTATTTGTATAGCCTATATAGCGAAGACAGCGCCATACTTTCTCAAAGTTAAAGTCAGCAAACAGCCCTCAAGACATCTAGTCCTCGATAATTACAAACTCCGGAAGGACCGCCTTTACCTGTTCTGCAGTCCCAAAACTGTTGTGGCCGGTAGACTACTCAGGTGGGTCAACTAGGAAGGTCCGGAATGTGTTGGCGTCAATAAAGCGTACGACAAGCCGTAGGGCATATTAGCTTCTTAGTATCATTACTTTCATTCCTTTTAAAGTTACTTCTAAGTCGCAGTGTCCTCCTACCGTATTAATTGAATAAATTGGCCACGCCCTGTGGATACCGCTAGCTGCGGGTTATGCCTGATTCGGAAGGTGAGGTCATGCGGCTCTTCCCCGCACATATCAGAAGGTGAAGCTGAAGATATTCGGCCCTGGAGGAGGTTATCTTCGAACCCATGCTTTGGTAGTTAATTGAAGACATCTACAAACCTGCAATACCTCAAAATCACCGTCGAGATGAGCTCTATAAGTATACCTGAGGATGAACCCCTGGTTCCTCCCCAACCCAAGCGGCGTGGCCGCAAGCCCAAGCCGATCCAAGATCGCGATTGGCAACTTCCCCGCCCGATCCAACGGAAAGAGGAGTCACATCCAAGGGCCAAGCAGCTTGCTGTTGTAATGTTTATGTATCATCATCAGGTTTTCGACCCTAGTAGCTCATGGTCGGTCAATGGATATAGGAAACCATTCCAAAGGGAGGCAGCAGACCATTTCAAGATTAAAAGAAGGACTATCGGCAACTGGGTCCTGAAAGATTGGGATAATCCCGAAATTACAAATCGATGCTATCTCCCCCGATGGCCACAGCTGGAGAAGCAGTTGTTTCACGATTTTATGGAGTTAGGGAAGAACGGCCGCCCCGTCACCACTGCTTGGGCTCGGAAACGGGCGATTGAGATATTCACCGAATCCTTATTGTCCAAGGAACATGTGAAGCTATTCACATTCTCCAATGGCTGGTGGCAAGGATTTAAATCGCGGTTTAACATCGTCAAAAGGAGGGTTACTAAACAAGCTACTCAACAACCTGAGGCATTGGCAGAGGTTTGTGGGTCTTTCAATAAATTCATCCGTCGCATACAACATAATGAACAATTATCGCCGTCAAAACCGCAATCCTTAATCAAAATGGAAATGAATAGTATCCTTGAGACGCCCAGAAGACGCTTTGAAAAACGGTATACCTTAAATGTTGATGAGACGCCTGTACCCTTTTCAATTGACTCTGGAAGCACTTGGGAGCTACAGGGGGCCAAATCAGTCCCGGTAAAGACCCCTCGAAGTGGGTGGGATAAGAGGAAGGCAACTTTAATCCTCTATATCTTCGGTGATGGAATCTGCCGATTGCAACCTACACTCATAATCCATGGGGAATCTGGGGAGAAATCAAGGATTTCCAAGGCTGAACAGCATCTCTATGCTCCGGGGATCAAAGTGATATATAACACTCATGCATACAATAATGAGGAATTATTTAAATTATGGGTTGAAGAAGATTTGCCTACCGTGAAGGCGGAAACGAGGGACTTCCTTTTGGTGATGGATGCTGTTGCTTTCCACCTTTCGCCTCCGGTCAAAGACGCAGTCTGCAAGCAAAATATTACAACAGCCCTTGTGCCTGTCGGATGTACTGGAATGCTCCAGCCACTCGATACTGCAGTTAATAAGCTTATAAAGGATTGGATTCGCGAATTAATTCTCGATTATGAGCTCGAACAAGAGAGAAAAGGGAAAACACGCTGGTCGGTCAGCGACCGGAGGATCATGACAACCTGGGTTATTGCGCGAGCTTTTGAGCGCCTAAAAACCAAGAAGGACCTCATAGAAAAGGCTTTTCTGGATGTCGGAATAACCGTGAGACCTGATGGAAGTCAGGATAACCTTATTCGCATTAAAGGAATTGATGAAATCGACTTTACGGGCTGGGAAACCGCTTCCGAGATCACGATCAAGTCCGAAGAGCTAGTCTCCCGTCTTTGCGATGAGGAGGAGCTTTCTTTCGGTCCAGAGGATGAACTTGATGAAGATATACTAATTTACTCATTGAAGAAGATGACAATCCCTCAATTGAAGCAATTGGCTTCTCGGAATAGCCTCACAGTCAAGGGACGGAAGGACGATATTGTGGAGGCAATTGATAGGGACGCATCAAGAATTGATAGGGGCGCATCGTCCTTAGGGACGCTCCAGCTTTTATAACATCCGATTGGCCCAACTTTTCAAGACCCATAAATACTTCACCATGAAGGCGGTGAAGCCAGCTCCCTTAACAGCCGTAGCTCTTGTTGTTGAATTGCGCAGAGATGCTGGGTGTGCTTGGTAAAATTAAGTTGATTATTCTTATTAACATGCTGAGATCTCTCTAGGGGTTTATATCCTATGTGATTCCTTCTAGGACTTTGAAGTGTGATACTGAAGTCAGGGGGAAGCTCCCAATTATTCCAATAGTATTTCCCAGCCCAGAAGCAACTATATCGTTGATATTCTCTAAGAATGGATTGCACGAATGTGTCAATACGCTAGGTATGATTTACTCCACAGAATTAGAATCATTCCGTTTAGAGCAACTATCTACTTTTTCTCTTACCGTGATTGAAGGAAGAACTGCTTCGTCACTGTTCCGCAGCTAGGACTGGGGCTTCGAGCGTGACGTCTTGAATTGCTCTCTGAGCTAGGAGGTGACTCCGATTGGAGCATGACGAGAGACTTAATGATTGACGGTTGAGAGACTGATGTTCGATCATCTGCTCATTTAGATTAAAGAGAGCTAAGGTCGGGTACTTCGGGAGCGTTGGCAGAATCCTGCCTGCACTAATAAAAAAGTGACTGACGAATCAGAGGCTGCAAAGCTGGAGCGTCCTTAAGGACGATGCGCCCCTATCAATTCTTGATGCGTCCCTATCAATTGCCATTGTGGAACAGTTGCAGCAGTATTATGCTAAAGAACGATCCCAAAATGACTGTATTACAGTGCAAATTGACGTTGAAGAGGATGTATTTACAGTAGATTAGCTTTATAGCTGTTCAAATTGATTATCAACCCAGAAAAAAGCCTCCCCTTCCTGCCACTCGCGATACAAGCCGGTCAACGGGTGCTATCACCCTGATGCTCTTGACGGCTATTATCTTCGTTGATGAAGCTACTATCATCGTACGCGTTGAGAGCCTCTGCAGATGAACCTATAGGTATTGATCGAGATGTCCTTAATCAATTCGAAATAACTTGCATGATGGTAAAGGTGAAATCAATTGATGACGCAGCACTACGTTCCCCTGATGTACCTCCTGACAAATGTCGGGATGTGGGGCCCGGTAAGGCCGGGAGGTTCAACACAACTCAAGGGATAGAGGGTGCAACTCATCGTTCATCTCCTTGCGTAGATGCAGTGGTCCCCGCCCGCCTTCAACTATGCTAAGCTCGCTAACGTATAACTGCATCTACTGGTCTACTACTAAGCCAATCGACAAAATGCTGAATCATTAAACCATTGTTACGGCCGTTATCTATGTCTAATTACCTATCCTTTCTATTCCCCTCATCTATACATTTTTTGAAACTACAATCATGTCTGAGAAACAACTACCAAGACGACGAGGGCGACCTAGAAAGGTACAGACAAAGGAAAACGACTAGCGGCTCAACACACATACTCACGGAGGTATTACCACCGTCGATTACAGCAAGAAAATGTGAATTCCGCGGTGAATATAGAGCTTTTCCAGCACATAGCTGCCACAGGCACATAAACACCTGATGCATCCCCTAAGGAGTTATTCGCGAAACCTGTGACTTCATTTTTTTTAGGACAGCCTATCCAATGCAAAGATATATCACAATTTGGTGCCAAGTAGCGGTTCATTGTGTTCACCTAAAATCCAAACGCATTCTCCTGCGAAACCATTCCCTTGCGAACCGCTGCCGCCATCGTGCCCAAGATATCCCCGACGATAACCAGGTTACTGATTTTCAGGCCGTGTGGCCCGCTAGAATCCTTGACGAAGGTAAGTCGATAAGCTCTCGGAATCTAAATCACGTTCAGTAGTTGGCAGGTGGACTCGCACATCCGAAACGATATACTGACCCGCAGCTCCCAATTAATTCCCTTGTTATCCGAATATTTCTTCTCTCCCGGCTCTACGAAGTTGGTGTATATATTCCCGTACACCATGCCATCATATCCGTCTTCCGTATCCTGGATGAAAGCGGAGAGGGGCTCCATTGAAAATTTGTCATAGAACCGGGTCGAATGAACCAACCTCTTCCAGGCCTCCTCTCCTCTAAGGGTCTGCCCACTTTGGGCTTGGAACTCGAAGTCCTGGGTGAACCACTTAGTATGCGGCCCCGAGTGGGCAACCTTGGTCTCGCAGGAGTCAGTGTTGAGGTTGCTCAAGTATTGCATAACAGGATGTTTCAGTGCCTCGTCGTCCCAGCCCTTAAAAGAACCGACGAAGCAAGGCTTGGTTGGGTAAGACATCGCGACGAGGAGGACTGAATTTGGTGCTGATCGAGACGGTAAGGCTTATTTGCTGCTAGTGATAGATTCTAAACATAGAAAAGGCGGAGAAGATTATAACCTTAGATGACTGGGGATGATGGTTCTTATATATATGACAGAGAGACCGATTACATGCATCTGCTCAGATCGTATTTTCGTTGCTCATCTAGCAAATGTCCTCTAGACCACCATTGAATTATTCTGCAAAGCATATACTTTCTCATTACGTGTTTTACATCAATGCCTTTTCAGGTATATGTTACCTACTCTTCTCCTTATCATGAACCTTCGATCCAATCCAAGAGGAAAAGCCCATTAGCTGTATTTTAGATAACAGGGCGACATGGACCTCTCGGTATTCTTGACATTTTCTTGCTACTCAGAGGTAAAATCACATGAACAAGACTGCCACTGACAACTAAGATAGTCAACGTAATTAACTGATCATTCTCCCAAGCCACTAACTCTCTCAGCAGGTATGAACGCGCGCTTCCAGCCCCGACGCCTAAGCCTCCCTCCCAAGGATTCCCACAGCAGCCACCTGACTTGCCCATAATTCAAATGGGTGGATGAGAAATTGGATCGCAAGATAGAGATGGTGGTATGATGACGCAACCAGGCGTTAATTGGACGCAAGAGATTCGCGTCAATCAGTCGCTGGCGGTCTAGATTCGATATAAAAGTAAAATCCAAAACCTTATTAAAAACGTCCCATGAGAGGCTGCAAGACCTCAAAAAACCACCGACGTTTACTAAAGCTACCATGTTCACAAAGCTTGGTAATCCACGGGAAACCGAGTCCTTTTTTTCTAGGTCATGTTCTGATTACGCCTCCGCTACAGCAAGCCAGCCTATCTCCCAAGCGATCTAAAGACAATGTTGAAACAGTGTGACTAAGGTGGCCCGCAGCGCTCATCATATGTCAACTCAATCAATCAATCACCCCAATCAAATCAATCAAATTGTCGAATTCTTCCTTTCAATCAAATCAATTCATGTATTTCGAAAGTTGAAATAATTGATATATTACAAATACATCATGCGATCGTCTAATATCGAGGCAAAAATTCAGATCTTCCCGGAATACTACCCTACACCAGATAGTTGCAGATGGAGGTCTACTTTCTAATAGCTGTGAATCAGTCCCAACACTAAGTACCTACTATCGTGTTCTAACGCGTAACCCCACCACGCGTATGCAATCTGGAACTCATTTCCCAACCATGTCGCGCCATCAAAATAATCCCTTCTATACGTGGTTTTTATTCCATTTCATCAGTAGAATGTCGAACTCGCCACTCTCCCCGTCGCCAGCTGGCTTTCCGCCAACAACATTGACACCTTGCCCTACACCTCCTTCTTCCGTCTTCTCACGATTGCCTCAGCCTAAAACGGTTGCCAAGCAGTTGGAAGAAGCAGCCGTTGGAGCTTTACCTCCCAACCCGACCATTGAGAATCTGCCCAAGATTACCTGGAAGAACCGTCGCTTCGTCCAGGAGGATTTGTTAGCTCGAAAAGGTGCAAAGGGCAGGAAGAGCTGGATTAGGTCGCACGGGACCTTCCTAGTCGAGCTGAACTATCAGGATCTACCGATAGGTCATGTCTGGTGCTGCAATCGATGTGACATGAAAGGCGCAGCGGAGTTCTTCTCGGTGCAAGCCACGTCTTCCGGAGCAGATCATCTCCGAAAGCATGTACTTGTCCCGTTCAATATTGTTCACAAGATACCCAGCAGCTGACCGACCTACATAGAGCTCACCGGATCACCCCAGCCAGCCAGTCTGGTGAGCCAAGTCCTGGTGATGAAAGTGCCATTGATATTTATTCTGGTGCAACACCGAAAAGGCGCCGGCTTGAACAGAGCGTCATACCAAAAGCGAAAATAAAAGCCATACAAGAACTAAGCGTCGAATTCGTCATTAATAGCGATGCGCCATTCACCATCTTCGAGCACAGCTTCCTTCGGAAGATCTTCAACCATTCCGACAGCGATTTAGTACTCCAGATGGCGTGGAGTGGTAGCTCTGTCACTAGAGATACACCGGCTCTTTGAAGCGAAGCGAGATACCATCAAGGCAGAGCTCTGTAACGCCTTGACAGCGGTGCACAGTAGCTTCGATCTCTAGACGTCACCGAATCGCTTTGCAATCATGACTGTATTTGCGCACTTTATCGATCAACTGGGGCATCAGCAATCCCGTCTTCTGGCTTTGCGTCGTCAATCTGGTGCTCATAGTGGCGAGAACCTCGCCGGTTCTCTGGTCGACATCGTCCACGAATCGGAGATTGAGGGGCGAGTTGGCTGTGCCATCTCTGACAACATGGCGGCAAACGATACTTGTCTGTACCACATGTACCAGCAGCTCGATCCCATCGATGAGGCCTGTTGATATAAAGGCCCGCCGGATGCGATGCTATGGGCACACGCTCAATCTCGTCGCGCGAGCCTTTCTCTTTGGCAAAGACGCCGACTCGTTCGAGCTGGAGTCTGACATCAACAGTATGCGCACAAAGGGCCCCATTGGTAAGCTCCGCAATATTGTCAAGTTTATCCGTTCGTCGCCGCAGCGGAGTGAGCAGTTCAAGCGAATTGCCCGGGAGCAGGATTACGAGGGATATCGGCTCTGCGAGGAATCCACGGCCGAGCTCGAGGTTATCATGAACAACGAAACGCGGTGGAACTCAACGTACATGATTGAGAGGGCTTTGCGAAAGCAGATAGACATCAGGGCATTTCTCTTTGCGATTCAAGAGGAGGAAAACGAGGCAAGACGTATCCCGGCGGATGACATATTGTCCAGCGAAGACTGGCGGGTACTTGGCGAAGTGAACAAGATTCTCAAACCTATACACCTTCAGACGATGCGGACGCAAGGCTGGGGGTAAAGGTGACAGCCATGGACGCCTATGGGAGGTGTTGATAGGAATGGAATATCTGCTGGAGCACTTTGTGGACTGGAAAGTCTTCTATAGTAAAGTTGCGGCGGAGACAGTGGGTGAAACTCATCTGGATGCCGCGGAGCGGATTGCAACGGCGCCGGCAAATTTCCGTAAGCGCAACAGTCGGCCAAGCCGCGTACGCCGTCTCCCTGCCCGCTTTGACGAGGATGAGGTTTACGCGCTACCGCAGCGGAGCCAACCCACGAGATTCATAGAATCTGCCTTACCGCTGCATTCTCGGACTGAATATTCCACGGCGGAGAAGCGATCAGCGTCTGAGACGTCGCAAAAGAGCACATTACCAGCAGACCATCGAGCCTATATCCGGGCATCGATTAACAACGGGTGGAAGAAGCTGAATGAGTATTATGACAAACTCGGAGAATCTCCCTTGTTTGCGGCAGCGATCATTCTTCATCCGAGGTTCGGGATCAGCTGGTTAGAGGCCACTTGGGTGTCTGAGGAGCAACTCGCTTGGGTTCGTGATGCCAAGGCTGGAATCAAGGATTACTTTACCCGTTGGTACGACGCGAACCAGGGACTGTGTGAAGAAACAATGAAGTACGACGCAGCGCCAAGGACGATGGGCCAAGAGGATGATCAGTACACTCAATGGATTAACAGCAAGAGGAAGAAAGCGTTTGCGACGAGCAGCAGTGTCGGCGAGCTCGGAAGGTATCTCCGTCTCGAGCCACAGGATACGCAGGATGGCATCCAATGGCGGAGAGACCATAGGGCTTCGTTTCCTTCACTGAGCAGCTTTGCTCTGGATATCTTTGCTATTCCAGCGATGGCAAGCGATTGTGAGAGGCAATTTAGTCTAGCGAAGCTGACGTTGACGTCTCAGAGGCTTTCGATGGGCTCGGATACATTGGAACACGTTCAGTGCCTCAAGAACTGGGTCAGGCAGGGCGGAGTAAAGTTGGGCAGCTGGGTGGGTAACGTACATGATAAGCGAGTGCAACAGACAAGCGAGTGCAACACAACATCCCAACATCTCAGATAGAAATAGCCATAAAAACACAACAGACTATTAATTAAGTAAAATTAATCGCTATATTCTTCCAGAGACATAGCGACAACTATCTGACAGGTCTTTGCATTATGTCCTGTCTTGCCCCACGCTCCACAGCGCCTTTCCTTCATTCGCGCAGGCCCTCCTTGACCACCACTTCTCGATGGTCTAGCCACCGCCTGCGCACCAACATCCGTTTGATTAATTACTTGCCTTCCTTCCTCTACTGTCATCACCCCTCCTTTCTGTAGCCGGGTTCTTTTTGCCCTCCGCCGCCGGCTTAGTATCTCATTTGCCTGTTCAAGATCTTGGACCCTGGCCTCTAATAAGGCAACCTTATGCATAACTATCTTTGTTCCCTTGGAAGAAGACCTCAATGCTTCTAGAATCGACTCTGGAGAGCTACTTTTATGCCTTTTGATTCTCCTTTCAAGATATTCAAGCTGAGAGTCGGCTTCAAGGATAGTCTTTGGGGTCTTTGAGACCCAAGGGGTCGAGGGGCTAACTACCTCCTCCGCAGGCGTCGGAGTCCGCAGCTGCACATCGAGCTTCGAGATTACACTTTCTGGGTCGAGAGGAGCAAGTCCGGCTCCTCTAAAGGCTGCTCTAATATTTTTCTCTGTCATTGTGGCCTGGTAGGCGGTGTAAAAAGCCGGGAAGAACTCGGTTTTGGAAATGTGGGTTACAGAGCATCTGATCAAATGCTCGATTTCTCGCCCGTAAGCCTTCTTAAGCAGGCCAAAGCACCCGACATCAAGAGGCTGCAGCAGATGAGACGAATCAGGCGGCATACAAAGCGTGATGATTTTATTTGCCTTGCAATATCTCTCAAAGTCGACTGAGTGGTGACTTTCGTATCCGTCGAGGATCAGGAGACGATAGCGATTCTTTGATTGCTTGGTAGTACACCGGTCGAAGTGCTTTAGCCACTCGAGGCCTATCTCGTTACCTGTCCAGCCATTAGGACTCGTCGCGATAGCCCAATCGCCCGGGAGGTTGCTTTCTCGGTACCAGTTGGCGAGGTGATATTGGCCCGCACCTATGATGAACGGCGGGATCGCTTGGCACTCGGCATTGATCGCCTGGATGACTGTAATCCATTCCCGGTTTCCAGGCTGCATTGATTTTGGTCTTCCACGCCTTTCAGCACCTGTGACGACCATTCCGCTCGCAATGACGCCCATCATAAAACCAGTCTCGTCAAAGTTATAGATATCATCTAATCGGATGCCGTACTTGGCGATTGTGTTCTCTATGAGCCTAAACCAATTGCGAATAACGGTCGGGTCTTCACATTTGGCTCTCTGGTAGTCGTATTTACGAAAGAAACGCGTCTTAAGCTCTTTATGTCGCCTCACGAAGTTAGAAGCCCAGCGCTTGCCGACGGGTGACGCGTCGCGGTCTGCGAGCAATCGGTTGGCCATTTCTTCAACACCACGCAGCCGCGGAGGAAATCCTCGCGAATCTAGGTCGATAATGAACTGGATAATAGTCTGTTCTTCTAGATCAGATAGTTTCCGTGATTTAGGCGTGGTATCGCGTCGAGAAAGAATGCCCTGCTGCCGGCGCCATAGTTTCATAGGATCAACTTTATAGATCTTTGCGGCGCGTCGGAGAGTTAATTTTGGGTTATTTTGAAGGGCTCGAAGTGCGAGAAGGATATTAGCTTCATTATTAAACTCAGGCATATTAGGTGGTTGAGAATCAATTGATAAAGTGGAAATGCTGTAGGTTGAGGGATTTTTGTAACACTCGCTTATCACGTACGTTAGCGGTTTGGATGGAGACGGAGTATCTTGCTTGGTTGGATAGGTGGCTTGGGCTTGGGCTGCCCTTAAATACTACGAGTACGCCATAGTGATGTTGAACAGGATGGGAAATGTGCTATCAAAGCTCAAGTTTCCCTGCTGGCTGTTCCGCCAAGTGTAATTCCTAATGAAGCCTTAAATTATCACCAAGTGTACGCATCACGCTCCTATTTCCTCAACTCATCAGAATGCTGGAAGATGCTAGCAAATACGCATCGACAACAATTCTTGCATTACTACGCATATTAAATTTAGGTGACGTTATACTTAATTGCATCAATTGGCGCTCTCGTTATCGGCTACTCGCCAAACCATGGACAGTATCAGAGCAACGTACTGCCTTCACTTAATGTCCACTTAAAACGGGATGCAATTACCTTGAGGTGTAGTAGACGCCTTGATATCGTCTATCGATCGATCCCCCATAGTCATTCAGCCCCCAATGCTGCCTTCTTATGCAGCGATCTGTTATGGCTTGTTCCATCACCTTCACAAGCGGACAGTTCCGGCATTACTCATGAGAGGGTCCCTGAAACCCAGCTTTGTAACAGTTATGATTGTTCCTTGAGTACATCGTAGAACAATACAGGCTACAGGCGAGAAAGCTCGGCATAGTATTTGGTTAAATGTACCAAAGAGATTGTTTGTTCAGATCTCTTTAATATGAACACATCTGATCTTCGCTAAAAGTGGACAATCAAGAGAAATTTTAACTTAATTTGAACAATGAACATTGCCTCTTGATCACTGAACGTAATCGCGGCATTATTGTACGTATGCCAACAAGCCTACCAACCTTGACGTTACCCCCAAGTATAAAGGATACAATTTCCCAGGGGCACAAGCAGAAGATCCAACCCTCTTGATTTCTCAAATCCATCCAGACCTTAAGTCACAGTCACACTCACTATCGGACATATCTTGCAACTCATCGCCACAATGACTCGCAACGCATCATGGTATATGCCGCATGTTTGCATCTCGTCCGATTTCTGGAAGGAGCGATAGGTAGAATCGATAACGCCCAGTTCAAGGATGCGTCGATTGATACCGTGTCAAAAGTCGAGAAAGTTTACAGAACTCAGAGGCGCTTCTTAGAACTTTACCCCAAGCTCACAAATTTTACACCACCAACTGCCCAACAGGTCGCTCCTCGATACCCACAGCATAATGAAATCGATGAACTTGTTGACAATCTCAGCAGTATCGACAATTGGCTCCTAGATATGGAACCTAGGTATCCATCCGACAAGAGCAGGGAGCGGAACCTACTGTGATTTTTGGCTGGTGTGACAATGACATTGGAAGAACAATTGGATTATATTCATAAGGTCATCTGGAACCTTGACCCCAGCCGTCGCTGTAAGTATGTCGACGGAAATCTTCGTTTCGCTCCTATTGCAACCAAGCTAGCCTACACTCCGAACCAGGTTTGCGGTGGCCAGCGAGAGGAAGAAATTGATGAAACAGCCTTGATCTATCTCGCTGAGATATTCGATAACGTTGACGAATAAACTTGACAGGCTACATGGAAACTATTGATCTTCAGCCTCAATAGAGATTTCGGTCTCAGTATTAAATGTTATTGACTAAAAGGAGGAAGGTTCGGATAGATTAAGGTTGTGGAAATGGCATACAAGTTTTGTTTTCGGAGTTTATAGACTGGGAGGTTTTAGGCGTTTAACCAAGATTGATTAGATTGTATTTGAGTTTATCAAGATTGTATTTCTACTCATAAATCCTCCATGGCAGAGCTTTTACTGTTGTTTTATTTTGTGAAATCATAATATTGTAAGTTTGGGGGGCTTGATAGCTATTCGAAGTCTCCTCTTTTGTATATGTGATTATTGCTTATGGGTGATTGTAACGATGGTCTGATAGAACGACGAAATCGCCGTTGCTTTTTCCAACAGATTTGAAACTGGTCTCATAACTATAAGACTGTATAGAGAATTAGACAGGGCATAAGAAACGTAGAGAAGTGTAAAAAGTTGAGACCTAGAAGCTCTCCTCGTAGAGCAAGAAAACTCGAGACCTATAATCAAAAATCTAAAAATAACTAAGCAAAAGGCTTCCCAAAATTACATAAGTTAACCTAAACTTGTCCAAGTCTTTTTGTCGCTTAAGATCAAGATCTTAAGTTTTCTACCTCCCCTAGGCCATTCAAACCTTTGGGAGCCTCAAAAGTAGCCGCATATTTGGAACATCCAAGTCTCGCAGGAGGACAAAGAATGACAATATATAATCAAGCACAAAGGAACCGTCAATATTGCTACTATTTATCTCTCATGTTATGCAACCTTTACGACTTTGTAGCATCGCGCACTGCAGCGACTGCGAAAGGATTCGCTGTGAAGGTTCTGTTAGGATCAGCCTTAGCCCTGGCCTTACCAAGTCTCTTGTACTTATCCGCATCCTCATAGTACGCCTGCCAGATCTCAGGCTTACTCATATCCCAATCTCCCCATGAACCCCAAAGCACACGCCGATCCTGCTTACTAAAAGGACTCTTGGCTCCAATCATGATGGAGTCGTTGGTCTTCTGCCAGTTGAGAGCATAATCTCTGTACTTGGCACCTGGATCGTGGAAGCAGTCCAGTGTCTGGACAACAGTCGAGTCTCGCCAGCTGTAGGATGTTCCGTTGTCCTTGTTGAGTAAGAAGCGCGAGTTCTTACCACCGAAGCATTGGATCTGAACGGAGAGCTTGCAGTGGTCATAGACTTCTCCCTCCTTGTCACTCTTGTCGTTGTCGAGCTTCTGGTGAGGGTTGTAGATCAAGTCAAGACGCTTGACAACTGCGTCGACCCAACCATCCTTTTGAAGGGTCTGCGACTTGGTGGCGTAGGTGCGCTTCACGTAGGGAAGCTCAAACTCTCGTTGCTTAGGGAAGATCCACTTTCCAGTCAGCTTGTCCATACCCTCATCAAACTCATTAATCAAAAGAGTATGGTTACTCCAATCATTCTGAAGGTCTCGGAACTGCTGGAACCAATTGTCCGCGGTGGAGTCATACTTGTCGGTTTTGCTGGTAGGACACCACTGTGCATAAAGGACAATGATAGCAGGGAAGCTACCATTGAGTAGGTCAAGAACATCCTTGGCCAAAGCTGTCTTGATCTTTTGTTGAATCTTCTTCCAGATGGTATCATTTTTAAGTGACGGGAACAGCATAGTGACAGGGAAGTCGGTGCTGAGAACACTGCAGCAAAGGTCATAGCCTCGTGGGGCAGTGTCTTCGTCAGACATTTTGGCGATGAAGCCAAGAAGACGTGTGAGGACCTTGGGATCATAAATCCACAGACCCTTCAAACCGTGAGGTCCCTGAAATTGTTAGCATCTTTGGCAGGTGCAAGTTCTTATACTTTCATACCTTGAAACCGTTAGGACCAGCAACGGTTCCCATGTAGCTGGAGGCACGATAGACCTCAACGGTGTAATGGGTAATAATGCCAAAGTTGCCAGGGCTACCACCGAGGATAGCGTAGAAAAGCTCAGAGTCACTCTCCTTGGTGACGTTCTGAATGGAGCCATTGTGGTCAATGAGACGGATCTTGATGATGTGATCGCCGAACAGGCCAAAACTGCGACCGAGCTGGCCATATCCGCCAGTTTGACCATGGCCACCGGTGCAAACACTGAGGAGTTATTAGCTTTATTAGCGTAACGACATATTGTAGGGCTTACTAAGCACACTGGCCGTGCGGCACGAATAGATTCACCGAGCGAAGGTAGTCATTAAAGTCTTGCAGTCTGTTACTCACTCCAGCGTATACCAGAGCTCTGTCCTCAGGAACACCAAGCTCCTCCAAGACCATCATGTCCTTGTAAGTGTTGGACAGATCAATCTGGATGTTCTTTCCACCAGTGGAAGAAGCACCTGAGTATTGGTGACCTCCAGACTTGACAGCGACGCTGACCTTGTTGTCCCTAGCCCATTGAACAGCCTTGATGACATCTTGATCTTCCTTGGGCTGCACAATGAGGGCTGGATTCATATCATGTTGCTCCTGGTAGGAAGAAGAAGCATATTGCTGATTGAAGTACTCATAGTCTTTTTTACCGAAGGAAGATGAGTCGCGGGAGTATTGCATCCCTTGGAAATCTTTGATCTTGAACATGGTGAATGTTGAACCGGGTTGAGTTTGTTTGGTGATTGGCAGGACTAGTGTGGCTTCAACTGTTTCTTATATTCTCTCTGCCAGCTAATTTCGCAAGAGGTGCATTTTGACTGTTGTGTTGAAACAACGGCTGGTCTCACTGGCTTTCAGACTATTGAGCACCTGTGCGGATGGTTCGCACTAGAAATTAGCGGCCTATCATTTATAGCTGAGGCGTCCTAGTGGCTGCAATGGTTGGGGAGCGGCTGAAGCTCGTATCGGGGACCATGGCTGAAAAGGCAACCAATCAAGGTATTAAGTTCATGTCACATGTGAATCACCCAACCAGTTCTCGTCTTTAATAGAGTGAGATATTGGGTCCTTTGGGGCTTATAGCGTGAATGAGCATGTGAATTCTGACTGTAATTGCACATATACGAGGTACATGTCACGAGCTCTGATTCTTTGATGTGTCTTATTGGATGTGTATGTTCTTGGTTTTTGTTGCTTCCCCGCTCTAAGTCCCATATACATCTTTATAATGGGGTCGGACTGGAGTATCACTGCTATAACGATCGCACACCCCATTATGTAAAACACACAACGTGACAGTACACGTAAGACTTACTGTCCATCAAATGCGTATACAGTGGGGTGCAATAAGTTTGAATACATCTGCAGGTATCTCGGCCCGGGCTAGCCTGATCGGGACCGCGTTTTCGATGCCGCTTTTTCTTCCTCCTCCACACACACACACATCACAACGCCTGATAACGCTTCACGATACCTCGAGGCAAGGAACTTACGCCTTCATTACGGTCACGAATATGTGAATTAAAGAGGCAAGGTTATTCTTATAGTCAAACTCACAAGCATTTTCCCTATATTCCCCTTGGAACGATCAAAACGACGTGCCGCCGCGAGGCACAACGTGGAGCCGAGAATACATCCCTGCCGCGGTCAGGCGCGCCTCGAAAGCTTATAGAAGAGCAACGCGATCAGATCTATGATACCGTTACAACCGATCCGCACGTAACGACAAGAGATTTGCTTGATTCCGTTGATAACGTTATCCAGAGGCGTTCTTTACGATACCTTCCACGTGAGATGAACAAGAGGAAATGGTTGCAGAAGAAACGCGTGGCCCTGACGCCGCTACAGGCTCGCAAAAGGCTCGATTGGGCCATACGATATCAGGGCATCGATTGGAGAAGGGTCAAATGGAGTGATGAGTGTATGGTGCGCCGCGGTCAGGGCTTGAGACCTATCTGGACCTTCCTATCGCCTCGCGAGGCCCTGCGCGTACAGGATGTTAGGGAAGCTAGGAGACAAGGAGCCGTACGGCAGATGTTCTAGGCTACCTTCGGTCACGGATCTCGTACGCCGTTGGTGCCTCTCGTTGGCAACGTCAACGCCATAGGCGTCTATGAGTTATACAGCTTTACCCTGCCGTGGGTCCTTCAATCTGGCGATATATTTATGCATGGCATTGTCTCTGTACATACGGCCCGGGTCGTCAAGTCCCTGCTGGAGGACCTAGGGGTCGATTTGATGGCTTGGCCGCCGTATTCGCCTGATTTGAACCCTATAGAGAATCTGTGGGCTTTAATGAAGGCTGAGATCTATCGATTACACCCTGAACTGACTTATGCAGAGGATACAGTCGCTACACAACACGACTTAGTCTTAGCTGCAATGGAGGCTTGGGATAACCTTGAAGATAGGATCTTAAAGAACCTTTGTGAGACAATGCCAAACCGCGTTAACGCTGTAAGTGACGCAGAAGGTTGGTATACAAAGTACTGCAGCTGTTCTAATTGATCTTGCTAGGTCAAAATTACCATATTAAAGCGGCAACATAACAGCTGCCCGTTCCGGCTAGCCTTGATGATCGGTACCTCTAGGTGTATTCAAACTTATTGCACCCACTGTAAGAGGGAGTGGTACCGGTAGTGCAAGCACCTTCTCAACCAATCAACGATAGCCTTTCAGAATTGAACCATATTAAGCCAGCCACTTTCCAAACATGTTTCAATCAAGCACGGGGTCCGACTTCCGACATTTTGCGGATAGCTCTGCACAAGTGCGGGGAAAGAGACGCTTCGAGACTGTTTGTGGAGGTGATGGCTTGCATGAGACATAAGCTTAGTCGCACTATTGGCGCCAAGCTTGTGACAGCGGGACAGGAATCCCTACGGTAGGTATTACGCGCGTATAGTACCGTTTGCAGCACGGCAGTCAGCAGGCACTGCATGAGGGTGAACAAGAAGAGGGGAAATGAAAACATGGTGATGGCACGGTGATTGAATGGCAAGCAATAAGGTGAGACATTAACGACGAATGGCAAATTCTGAGACTGTCCCTTGGTGGGGCAATTGGGGTCCATGGGTTGGCTCTTTTTGGGGAATAACGTTCAACTACTCCATAGTAAGCGGCATCTAAATACGATATTTCACCCAAGCTAAACGGTGCTCACGCACGGCAAAACCGTGCCCCTCCAAGAGACTTACGCAAGGGCGACCAAACGGTCTAAAAGGCTCCTTATAGGCTTATTCTAGGAATAGTTGGTCAATAGTTCCAGCCACAGAGTTCAGCTCTTCTCTTGTGCATTTATTGAGGTTTAGGGCTGCCACACCTCCCGGTCTAGGCCATCCATATTCCATTCAGGGTAGTAATATTGAGTTTTCAGCCAAACTTGTTTGAGTTGTCATGGGTTTCTTTACAGATGGGTTGGGTGGAGGGTTAGGTTCGGCCCGGTACTTGTGAGTGGGGGGCTTGGAATGCGATGTCCGCCAAGAGATGGCTGGATGGTTTTGAGATAATCCCCTGTGATGGAGTTGCTGTGTTTGCTACGTGTAATAATGACGATTGAAAGCCAATCATACGGAAGTTCATATGGATTGTAATACCTGTCGTATTAGTGGTCAGCAAACGGTAAGCTCCCGACGCCTTCAACTCAGCCGCTCGTGAATGGGAGGGAGGCCATGGCAGTTACGGCTGATGCCTACCAGGGTGACGGATATATCATATAGCAGTTATAAATAAACAGGGCCATCAAGAATACAGTTCAATTATTCCAGAATTCCCATCAACTCTGAAACTCTGCCAGACTACCAAGACTACCTTCTCTCAGTTAGGATGATGCTTCCTACAGCTCCCGTTGTCCGCATGGATTTGGGTGATGACTTCAAGTTCGGCCCTACCGTTCTTGACCCCATTCAGCCAGAGGACCAAGAAAACCTGGTCCCGATCAATGGCTTCCCCAGCGTTGACCCCGCGGGTGGTGACATTGCCATGTCCCAACTTGGTGTTCTGGCACATTTTTTCGGAACATACAGTGGATTCGGATTAAATACAATTTTCCGTCCCAACGGGTGAGTATTCCCATCAAAGAAAATATCAACGTTTTGAAGCTAAGTGAGACAAAGTACAAAAACTCCTACACCTCTCCCTATTCAACCCCCACCTACAGATCTCAATGACAACATTCTTCAACTTAATCTCACATCTGAATCCCTGGCTTTCGCCAAAGGACGTCTGGATGATGTACCTAACCGTGGTTTGAACGACCAAGCTGATGTCATGCTCAATGGTGTTCCATACACTCAGACAATTGCTGATATCACTGAGATTGTAAAGCCACCCAAGCAGCAGCCTGTCATCCACTTCGAGCCTGGTCTGTGGATGCACGTTCCCTCCAGTGAGATGCCTAATCTTTCAGCTTCTCTGTCTCGTATGGCTTCTATTCCTCATGGAACTTCCATCAATGCCCAGACTTTCATGGCTACCATCACAGCCAAGGGCGCACCGGTCTTTTCCCCGGTTGACATCACCCCCACTGTTGTTGGTGGAACTCAGAAGGTCCCCTTCCGAGGCCAGATCCTTACCAACAAGGACACGTTCCGCCTTCCTCAGGATCTTTCAAGCTTTGACAAGGCCGGTACCATCACACAGGCTATCTTGACTGATCCCAACACTGTTCTCCGAAACGCCAACATTGGCAAGAACATCATTGAGAACACCACCTTTGAGGTTTCCTCAGAGGCCCAGAACCCCAACCTCGGTGGTGGAACCAGCAACATTGGTTTCCTCATTGGCGCAGATGCCGGTGCCAGCTCTGCTTCTGTCCAGGCTCGAAGCGGAAACGCCAACGCTGTCCGGGTCACTGCTCAGTACTGGCTCTCCCGAGTTCGAACTCAGCTCAAGCTTCCTGTTTGCCGGGGCACAGATAAGAAGAGCATTTCTCCCGCTTCTCACGGACCTCGTGATGCTGTTCCTAAGTTCCTGATCGACATCGATGTTCCAGCTGCGAAGACTGTCAACATTGAATACATCCAGATTCAGTATTCACAGACTGTCTTCCTTGACTTCAATGGTCTCTCTTGGCCTCACGTTACAGTGGGAACTCTGGCGCCGACTATCCGACACAAGTTGTCTCAGGTTATTGTATCTCACTAGATGGTCTTTTGACCCAAGTAGTCGAGACTGTGAAAATGGGGAATGGGTTGGTTACGGCCTGGACTGTCTACAGATATTTGGGTGGATAAGCAGCAATAGCATCTTAAGTTCTTAACAAGAACATTCTCTTAGCTTAAATAACTTCCTTCGTGTCTGCCTGATGGGATTAGAAAATCCATATAACGTACGTGATAAGCGAGTGTTACAAACAAGCGAGTGTTACACTATACTGTATAACCGAAAGTGCTAAGATTTAGCGTTTTAGAAATTAACTATATAATTAAAAAAAATCTCAGAAAAAGAATTTGCTATAATCTTTACACAGTAAAGTACTATACTAACTTTTATAAAATTCTCCTTAATTTATTTAGGCTTATATTTACAAATACACAGTGTAAATAGGTTTTCTTTATACTAGCTATTAAAGAAATTATATAAAATCTAGAAAAAATATATTTTATAGATTCAGTTATAATCTATGCTATATTAAAATTTCTTTTATTTTAGGAATGATTTAAATTCAGGAGGGTTTATGTTTAGTCGAATGTAAGCCAGTATAAATTTTCAATGTAACACTCACTTATGCTATATTAAAATTTCTTTTATTTTAGGAATGATTTAAATTCAGGAGGGTTTATTTTTAGTCGAATGTAAGCCAGTATAAATTTTCAATGTAACACTCACTTGTTTGTAACACTCGCTTATCATGTACGTTACACACATCTAATAAGACACATGAGAGAATTAGGGCTCGTGACAATAACTATCGTAATATTCGTAGCAATCATTGGGATAGGGTCTCAGCAATACTAGAGAAAGAACCTTTTGCGGCCAAGACCTACACTTTGTTATGCCGCTGACCACTGATCCTCATAATTGCGATGATTCGGGGAATGCAATCAGATGATGCTTGCACAAAATTTGACAACATACATTGCGGGAAAGTTCCTAACCCACCCCCACAAACCTCCGTCTCGAGACGGATGCTTGTTGGATCACTTGTCAACCTCTTGATATGTCCCTGCAAGGCACCTGGCACCCCTAGGCGCATCCTTATTATATTCACGCATGGCTGTATGGTCTCTGGGATATGGCTCAACTCGTATGATTGAACTTTCTTCAAGTCAATGCATGATCGAGATCGGGATGGGTTTTCGCCATGCTGCCTGCCAATCAAAATAACATACCAAGACACGATTTCTAAGTCTAATGACAGCTGCCAATTCCATTGCCTGCCTCAAGAACCTCACAATCATATTAAGATAAAACAGCAAGCTTGGAGTCGGTAAATAAAGGTCACATGTGAAATAGGCGTAGAGAGCGGGCAGCCCCAGCTACTTGAATATACTTTCACATGAAGCCGTGAAATTAAAGTAGAAGGTTTATCGTAAAACGCTATTTTACTTCATACAGAGGAATCTTAAGCCAAATCTCTAAACCTTAATTATCTATTAGTGGCGCCGTCAGATGCTGGGTTGGATACCGACAGAGATAGAGTTGCAGCTCAAGACTGTATCGTATTGCTCCATCCTGAGCAAGGTCCTATTGTTGAACGGATCGCGTGCGCCTTGATGTCCTTAATTGTATCTGTATTGTGGAACTGTGTCCCCTCCCTTCCTCAGAGAGGGGTCTGCTTATTATGTTTTCCTAACCAGGCGGGAGCCGCGGATTTAAAATTTCACAGGTACCGCGAAAATGACTAACGTAGTTCATCACTAAGCGAGCCACATCACCTGCCAAGCCACTTTTCTATACCTCCCAACTTCTAATCCCTACCTACAACTTACCCAAAAACACACTCAATGGAATCCAAAATACCATGATTCGATGCCACATCCATATCTTCAGCCTCTGGACAAGTTCTTGCATTATGACCACTCTTGCGGCAGATGCCACAGAGCCGCGCGCCCGTCTGGTGCCGCTTCGATGGGCCCCCTCCCGCACCTTCATCACGCCCTTCTTCCTCCACTACGCCCTTTTTCACTAGAGGCTGGCTCGCTTTCTCACCTGTAAGAGGTCCTGAATCTTGTAATCGTGTTCTCTTGGCACTCCGCCGCTTAGAAAGGGCCTCATTGGCCTCGCGAAGTGCTTTGATCTCTCCGGTCAAAAGTGTCAGCTGCAGTGTTGCTAATAATATGGCAATAAAGTAGTATATTGCAATACAAACCATATGATATGGATCTTCTCATATTGTCACAATATGATATGAGCTTTTTGATATTGTACCAATATAATATGAGGATGTCCATATTGGCAATATATTATTTATATTGGGGTGTCGGTCCTGAAGCGAAATTGCCTCTTGACCGTGGTCTGTCTTGACTTACCCTACACCCCACGGCAGGTGTACTCGGCGTTTTATTGGTCACCTTCCTTTGTCATCACACTTTCTTGGCATACAAATGTTAAGAAAGTGGCCCTGTCTACACGTAAATCCTTAACAAGTGCACAACAAACATTCCAATCTGCGCTTTGCGCAGTCGCAAGCCGCGGCGATGGCTTCGTCTTCAACGATCCCGCCCGCTGCCTTGGATCCCTTCGATCTGGGGATCCACACTCCCGTCAACCTGAACCGGGGAGCCCGTGCAGCCCTCTTGCAGAACAGTCCGGCAGCCGTCAACGGCACCATTGGTGTTTCAACCGGTCCCGGCCGGATGGCCCAGACACCATCCTCACCACTCAACCCCGCCACCATCGCCGCAGCTACGGAAGGAGCTGAGCGTGCCAGTCCCGCATCCATTTTTGAACAACGACCAATCTCTATCGTTGAATCAGCCAACGATCTCGCGCGAGAACACGTGGAAGAGTACAACATCAAGCTGGGGGTTTTCCAGGCCTTTTGTGCCAAATTTGAAGAAGCGGCCCAGCAATTCGTCACCGGACCGCAACGACGTTTCGCTCAGCAATTTGCCGATGATTTCCTCGGTTTTTGGAAACGAGAGCTCTCCTGCTCCGGACCTGCGACCCCAAAGCCTACATACAGCAGCGTGGCCGCTGCCGCGCCTCCCACTGACCATGACCGTCTGACCTACAGACAACAACAACAACAAAATAAAGGCCGACAAACAGATCCACCTCATCGCCAAGGGCAACAGACGACCATCGCCCCACCCCGACAAGACCTCCGTGTCTTTATCCGTCTAGAAGCCGGAGCTCTGGCCAGGGCCCACAGTAGCTATGCCATCCGGACTCTGATTCGGGAGAAGCTCGGTGCTGTCTCAGACAAGATCCGGCAGGTGTTCCAGGTCAGATCGGGATGGGCCGTTCTGGCTGCCGACTCGGCAACACGCGACTTTCTGGTAGAAAAGCAAGCTGAGTGGGCCGCTGAACTGGGAGCTACAGCAGTAGAAACGAACAAGGAATGGTTCACCTATGTGGTCTCAGACGTTCCTACAAGACTGACTGACTTTTACGGAAATGAGGTGGATAGTGACAGCGTCGTCAGCGACGAGATAGAAATCCAGACTGGGCTCAAGCCCATTGACGTACGTACCGGAAGACAATTCTCGGATAACCCCTTGACCAAGGCCCTACTTGTGTCCTTTCTGAAGCCCACAAAAAGATTCTGGTCTCTTTTCGGCAGTAGCGCAGCTAGACTTGTTGACAAAACCGACCGACCTAGACAATGTGAGAAGTGCTGGGGCCACCATTTTGCCCGCAACTGTCACAGACAGCCAGTTTGCCGACGCTGTGGTGAGACCGGCCACCTTGTAGACGATTGCATCGCACCAGAACAGTGCGTCAACTGCTTGGGCCCCCACCAGGCCAACTTTCGTAGGTGCCCAGCTCGGCCAAAGACAGTGCACGGCGTGCTCCGCCGACTGACTAAAGAGCAACGAAAACATGTCAGGGCCGTTGGTGCGGAGACATACCGACAACGACACCAAGAACCACAGTCGGGATCGCATCAGGAAGCCCAGCAGGGCATGGCTGAGCGACAAAACGAGGATGTCACATCACAAGAACGACCGAACGCTCGTGCTCCAAGCCCAGCTGTATCAGGAGCACCTTCGTGCATCATGGTGGCCACGACCCCTCATGCTGGCTATGAAGCAGAGGAAGAACCCGAACAGCCCAGACCAGGCTCACCGCGAAAGCGCCGAATAGTTCTCATCAATCGCTCGCATGGCCAGGAATAGATATTCTCAAACACGAAAGAACGACAGGAAGCCGCTCAGGATCTTCCAGGCCAACGTCGGCAAGATCCCCCCGGCCCACGACTGCGCCCTGGCGCTGGCCGACTCGGAACAATATGACGTTGTGCTCTTGCAAGAGCCGTGGACGGCTCACACAGAGACCCGCTCTCTAACCAAGACTCACCCTGCATACGACACATTTACGCCGGTCGACATGTGGAACAGCAACGATACTCGGCCTAGAGTGATGACATATGTCCGGCGAGACCCCAGACTCCTTGCCGACCAGATTCGGCCCTTCCAGACCCGAGACATTCTCTGGCTCGCGATCAACGGCATGACGATAGTCAACTTTTATCGTCAGAACGACGAGAGGGACGCCCTAGACACGCTATTTCAATGGTCTGTCCCGGAACGTTGCCTCGTAGCTGGTGATTTCAATGCCAGACATCGTAGCTGGCAAACAGGCCAAACTACGAACCGGGGCCAAGAGATAGCAGGATGGGCGTCTGAGAATGACCTCAGCCTTCTCAACACTTTAGATATCCCAACAAACCCGTACGGCAACACAATCGATCTTGCCTTTACTAACCTACCACTTGCTGAAGCTATCGTCGAGGACCATCTCGCCACCAGCTCTGACCACTTCACGCTCAGCCTGACTTTCCCAGACGTCAGATCGACTCCGGTGCAGCCAGGCAAGATTCGAGTGACGACGGAAGACGAGCTTAAACGATTTGTCGAGATCGTAGAGCTCGGCGCTACAGGAATCCCCCTGACGGATTCGACCCCCGAGGAGCTGGACGAGCTTGCCTCTTCACTTGTGAGTCTACTAACATCAGCAGCAAAAGCGTCTGGGAGGCCCGCACGGAAAGGCGGACGTCCGGCTCCCTGGTGGACGGAGGAGTGCGCCGACGCCGCGGCTGCTTTTCGAGCCATCAGAAGAAGCTACCTGCTCGGCTTCAACCAGGACGTTCAGATCGCCAAAAGAGGCTTTCATCGTGTGGTCCGTCGGGCCAAGAGGCGCTATTGGCGTAACCTCATCGATGGCTTCTCCAGCAGTAGCGATGTTTTCAAAGCTGTCCGGTGGCTAAAGTCCCCAGGAGCCTTCCAGCCGCCACCTCTA